AACACATTTCCACACATAGGTAAACCTGTCCTTGGTGCTGAACACCTTTCACACATAGGCAAACCTGTCCTTGGTGCTGAACACATTCCACACATAGGTAAACCTGACCTTGGTGCTGAATACTTTCCACACACAGGCAAACCTGTCCTTGTTGCTATACACCTTCCACACACAGGCAAACCTGTCCTTGGTGCTGAACACCTTCCACACACAGAAAAGTCAATTCACTAGCTAGCTTAACTAATCTCTCCAATTTACTCAATAATCAAAGCTGTTGTTTATATATAAGTAAAGCACAGGGAATTTTGTCATTTGGCGACTTGAGAAATGATCGCAAGATGTGCTCTTATGAGAATTTTACTCCAGGTCTTTTCTGCTGTTGTTCTTGACTTTGAGGCTCTCCTCGACTACCTAGTAAATATCACAAATCTATCGGGAAAGAACCGTTTTATTCCCGAATCTGTTCATTTTGAGACAAGCATTCTGTTATGAGCGGCTGAATATGGAGCTTTTTCCATCAACATGTCTGCAATTTTTCTTTTTTGCGCATTTAAAAAAAATATGATCATACATCCTTCCCGCGACTCCAAACAGTTTCTTACTCAGTTGAAGTATTGTTGCAGTGTATTGTTGCAGTGTTAAGTTATAATACTATTCATAATGTCCTCTCGTATATTACCACATTGTACAAATTCTCCACTAGTATGTCTGAATTAAAAAAGAGATTATATAAAACAAAGAAGAAAGCTAAATTCTAATTTCCTGATGAATTATGCAAAGGAGGTCCTGATTGGAGTAATTTATGTTTGATGATGTTCATGTTCACTTGTCTTCCAATTGCCGCAAGTATGAAATTCCCGCCATTTACCAGTAAGGAATTATAAAATTTTCTAATTACCTTCGCTGAGAAGGTTATGTTTTCAGGGGCGTTCGTGGGTGCATGTGTGTGTGTGTGTGTTTTTTGCATAATTAATAAGAAATGTTATAATTCCATAGTGTTAACTGCCTGGTATTTCATACTTGGGGTATTTTAAAGTTAAGTGAATGTGAACATAATTAAACATAACTTATTCAAATATGGGCCTCATTTGCATAATTGATGACGAAATGCTATAATGGCATTCTTTGTTAATACAAGACTGTATTTTGGTGTAGAATATGATCAACTGATATAATTCATGCAATTGAGGATGCTATTTGCATAATCAGGGGGATTAATGTATACTTTCTTAGTCATAAGAAAGTCATTTGGCGAAGGTATGAGATCGCGGAACTCTAGTTCTTCTATTTGTGCATTATTATATATCGGTTCTTACTTCACTGTAAAGTTGCACATGCATAGTAGATACTCTTATCTACATAAATGTAGACATTTGGATGTCGAATCAGATAAAACTTTGACACATATGCATGAGTAATCATCTTCAATTCATGCAAAGCACCATAATCTTCTATCTGGCACAGTGCCTTTGATGATATGTCTGGTTACATACTGGTCATACAACAATTTCTTATGCATGAGCTTTTTGAATACTTCAATAGAATTGTAAAAGTTTTAACAACAGCTTGTAATCAAAATCCTGTTTAGAACACAAAAATACTGGATACTTTAGATACTATTTCATTTAGGATGTCTGGTAGCATTTAAATACCTACTGAGTTAAAAATGTCATCTTTTTAGTTAAAAGATATTCACTTTAAATCGGCAGTAAAAACCTTCAGATGAAGCTAGTCTTAGAAAAGAAAGTCGAGTTTTTACTGTCGTGACTGAACATTCTCAGAGACCTTGACACGACAGAATCAAGGATCGTGCCAGCTTTTGCCGTAACTGTTGTAGTTGCAGTTGTGGTTGTTTCTTCAGGCCGGACCCTGCGCCCTGCACTAAAATGGTGTAGTGTAGTCACTTCAGAGGAAGACCTGTTTGCCACTGTTGTATTACACCAAGGCAACGTCGTGTTTAGAGGCAGTGAACCATTCACAGTAGTCCATGTGACACAGTCTGGAGGGTAGCTGAAGTGTGGATTGGGAACAAACTCCCGTACCACACCCCAACAGTCAGAATGGCAAGGCAGGCAGCCACAGCTACGAGCCTTCTGTACACCATCACCTTAAACGGAAGTTTCTCCAGACTTAGAACCATGACCTCGGATGTGTCAGACACTTCACTGGTCAGAGAGTCTAACAGTGGCTCAGTATCTGTTGAACCTGTTTCTTGTAAGAAATGTTGTGTGTCTGCCTCCTGCATTTCAGACAGTTCTCTGTTGAGTGGTGGCATTGTAGTGAATTCTGTCTCTTGTTCTGTAGATTTGTGTACGAGGCTGTGTTGTGAGTCCTCAAGTGTAGCTGCAACACTCTGCAGTTCTTGTGCACCTGAGAGAAAAAACATTATGTTTTGATCTTAAATTTTCTCATAAAAGGGTAGAATATATTATATTAATTTCTGTCGTCTTTTGTCATGATTCATTTTTTTGCAATGGCTTTACTTTTCAGGAAGAAAAATCATTGACAAGCCCTTCAATTGATAATGACACAAAGCTAGCCTCCAAAATTGAAGCAAATTTTTTTTTACTTACCGGCCCCTCCCAAAGATCCATTGGGAAACCTGTCTTCTCTGTCAAGTTCCTTGGCCATTCTGCCATTACAGTGGCTGGCATCCTCCTCAGCTTTGACCCCAGCCCTGTCCTGAGCCTTCCATGCCTCCTGCACCCAGTCTGTGCGAGCAATGGTGATTAAGAAAGACACACACTGGAAGATGGTGGCTATCCCCAGTCCAAAGTACAGCCCTGTCAGAAAACACAAGCTTAAGGTTCAGGCACTTCAACATTTAGCTCAGCAATGGCAGATTCTGAAGTACGTCAAGGGTTAAGACACTCTTCCCCATGCATGAACTTGTATTCCTGCTTGTTTGCTCTATCAAGAATACACAAATAGAGTATTTTCCACTTAACCTCATATGCACATCAGTTGATTAACAGAATTTCAGCACCCCCAAACTATGACCTGTCTTCCTTTTCTTTGTTCAACTTCAGATATCAAATGTTCACACATTTAGAGTGTATGAAAATGCGAGGACAAACCTTTAACTCCCAGATGTAGCTTGAACATGAAGATTGCAATAAAAGGCAGCCCCAGGACGTAGTACCCTGAGAAGGTGATGATGGCACCCAGTTTCTGCTTCCCACAACCCCGCAGTATGCCAGCACAACCAGCCTGCAATACACAATACATAGTATTATCTGACGGGTTTTCATGTCATGCAATTATACAACAGTAACTGTTATCCTAATGGCAGTGCAAATGATACAATCAAGGGACTTGATAATAAGGAGTTGTGATTGTACTTAACAGACAAATATGTGGGATTTGTGGGGCCAGGCAAACCCATGAAAAGGGGGTGCGTGGAAAATCATTGAGGTTATCCGGCGGTTTTTCTATCAAAAGTCGGCATTCCCTTTTGTATGGTTGTTTTGTAAAGCGAACTAAAATCCCTCGCAAACTCTTTATTTGCTCCGCTGCGCGAAATTTAGTCCTTGCGAACATAAATGCATTTACAGTACCTGTACAGTGTCTGCCAGCTGTGTCACACAAACAATGGGTAGCACTTCTCCTATAAGGCTCACAACCTCCCTGGAGAAACAATGGGAAAAAAAATTTAGTTTAACTGTTCCCAAGACAGGGACAAAAATACAGGATAAAGACACCTAACAGCATTGAAGCATGTTAACCACGTGTCTGTCAATTCTTACAACATGCAAGTGCATGAGACAATGAAGTCGTCAGACAGTTATAATTATACTCACTTGTCATTGGTGAACACAGAGCCGAGCACATGACGTGATGACACCAGGACAGTGGAGGCAACAAAAGCATAGCAACCTGTCATGGCAGAAACAGTACATCTCAGTACCACGAGATATAGTATAATAAATAATTATTAAGATACACTGTACACAAGAAAATTATAACAGGTAATTGAATTTATCTGGTTTACCATGTTTTTCAACTTTAGGCCACAGCAAGTAATTTTTATGGATGACATCAGTGCCTGCATAGATTTTTGCGTGATTTTGAAAAAAAAATTGTTACCCTCTCACAGTAGTCAACATGCCAAAAATTGGCAAAGATGTCTGTTGCCATGCCGGAACGTAGATGGCAGATAAATATAAGAGAGGAGACAAGACAAGGCTATGATTTACGGAGGATGTCATCCATAAAATTTACTTGCTGTGGCCTTACTACTTTTACATCAGTGTTGCCTGTTACATGCCTGTATTGTTTGGAAGGAAGGATTAGACTTCAATGTTCACTCATTACATTGTTATACATACATTATACATTGTAATAAAGTCGCATAAAGACAGAACTTACAGAAACTGAAGATGCTGACTTTAGCAGCCAGTTTGGCCTGTGCAGCATTCCCAGCACCCAGTTCATTCCCGACCCTGATACTAGCAGCTATCCCCATAGCCATAGGGATCTGTGGGCACCAGGAAGTGGTGAAGAGACAATTGTTTTCAAAGGGAAAGGCAACAAAATTCTTACATGTCTTCTTATGTCACTCTCTCAAGTTTCGGGTTGGTATATTAAATAAAATCAAATGTGACTTGAATTGATTGCAAGCATAATATGTTAACGGCCACACTCAAATAAAATTCCCTCATGAATGTAACATCTGTGTCCAAGATCACCAGGGTCCATAATATCACCACCTTGAGAAACAGTGTGCTTAAAGATATTTTTACTGAAACATACCCTAGGTATGTACATTTGATGTGTGAAGGAGTGCGTACCAAGAGTATGTTGCAGTAAGAATATCTTTAAGCACACTATTTCTCAAGGTGGCAATGTTATGGACCCTGGTGATATTATGGACACAGATGTTAACTTGAAGACAAAACATCTTTGAACAACACTACAGCAAGAGTGCGAGACGCAGCTACATTTTGAGATGTGAGGCTTCACAGTAAGCAGAATAAATGTTACAAATAATAAATACAAGATATTTATAATCAATTAGGCCACACCAATTTAATTTGTTGGTTCTCGGATTCGCCTCTTCGTTTTTTTCTGATTTGCAAAAAAAAAAAAATTGATTCTGGTCCTGAATTAACTGAAAAATGGTCATGTTTTGCCCCCCAACAGTTGAGGAAAGTCCTTTTCTTCCTTAAGTTGTAACTAAGTTGTTACAGTTTTCCCATCTATCATTGTAGTGGTTTGATTAAAAGTTCAAAATTCAATGTTTAAATTTTAACCCAGCCTTTTGTGTTGACTTCATGGCTCATTTTGTAGCATTTAAGCCTATAATAGGATGCCTAGACCTGTTTTTATTTTTTATTTTTTTCGCCCTGTCGCTTCATATTTTTTCTGAAAAAATCCGAGAACCAACTAATTAAATTGGTGTGGCCTTAGATACAATAGTTGAAGGTACAATAGAGTCAGCGCATGCATTGTTATGCTGTATTTACCATGAAGTTGAGTGAGTTGATGGTCATGATGATTCCCTGAGCGGCCAAATCCACAGTCCCTATCAGTCCTGGGAAAAGAGGATAGCTTACTGAAGGGTACTATAATTATACCAATTAAGCTGTGGTTCACATTAGGTAAATGCTTTATCAATTGTACTTGTCAAAAAGAGCAAGATATAAACTCCCTGGTCTTGTTTGAACCTGTGCTGCCCCCTCAATACAGCCCCTACACATCATAACAGGCCTTTGCCAAACACATCCACCATGTAATAATTATCATATAAGTTTTGGTTTTACTAATAACACTGTCAACACATTTTATTTTATTTCATTGGTTCAGCTGTACAAAAGACAGCCAGGGTTGCGCGACTAGTTACAAGACTATTTCGAAGGGCTAACCCTGGAACACATGGCCTTCCAGAAACATGAAGCATGTTAATAATACCTTGCAGGGGTGCACAAAGGTCTGTCACAGTCTGTGTCATATACCTGGGCTTATTGAACAGAAGAGTAGCTATTTCGGATCTATGGAGGTTAACTAGATAATCTTGAAAGCAAATCTGAAAGAAAAAAAACTTAAAATCTTGAAAAAAATTTTTCTTAAAACTTTAATCTACAAGACAGCCCTGTCCTATTTACAGACCATGCAGCGATACTTATCTGTATTCTGTACTATATTCTGTATCATTATAACCGGTATAACCGCCCTTCAGCGTAACGCACCAGCTTTGCAGGCACGTGGCACAGCGGCAGCTAGCTATATCACACCGAAGGACTTGTTACACTCAATCTTTGCACATTTAGTTGCAGGAGTTGTTTAAAGCTTTCTAGTGATGATTCCCCTAACTGTGCTTGGTGGCACCGACTTAGTCTACAATAGTTCTGGGGAAATACGAGTTTTTGAATACCTTAACTCTTGGTTGATAACTCTGATATTTGAAGGCATGGCTGTTTCTTGTTCTTTTCTGGGCTGGTATCAGATACTTAGTGGTTGGTACGTCCACCAGTTTATTAGTCATTTTGTACATCATGCACAGTCTGGACATTCTACGTCTGTCTTCCAGTGACCCCACTGTAGGTTTCTTTTCATTACCTGTGAGTAAGGTACCAATCTCGAATGTCCACCATTCCAGACACACCATGAGCAGGCCTGCTATAGCCAGCTTCACATACACACCCCACTCCTGTAGGCAGTCACTTCTCCAACCTGGGATTCAACAAATCAGAAGATATTTTTCTAAAAGACACTTTCGAAAAGTTTGGTAACTGCTGGAAACATGACATTTACATAATCATTTTCTGTCTTTTTTTTTGTGCATTTCCACAATTTGCTCTCCTTTAGTGATATACCTATTGTATGTATAGGATAGATAGGTGGATTTAACCAAATGGAAGGGTGCAGTACCTGGCCAGGTCTGTAGGTGGAGCTTCCGCACTCGTATGTACAAAAACATGAAGAAACACAGCAAATATTGGGTGACCCCTGTTGCAATAGCAGCTCCCCTGGAAAAAACAAAAAGACTTGGTAAGGATCTTAACCATACTTAACCTTTGAACAAATAACATTACACATAAGACAATTATATAACAAAACATACAGACTGTAGATTTAACGTTAAATGTACCATGCAAAATTTCTATGTACTTAGGCCACACCGACTTAATTATATGGATGACATGCTTCAAGACCCCCAAACTAGGGCGTGCGGGCAAATAAAAACATTCTGGCCAAAAATAAAAATGCTACAAAAGCACAGGAATACAAACTGGTATATATAATTGTGAATTTGCGGAAGTAATTACAAGCTGGCACATGCTGTAATGTTATGTATGTACTGAGTTCTTAAGTCGTGGAGCTTCAGTAGCCTGGATGCCGTCCTGCAGAGTTAATACTACAGTCGCTAACTACCATGGACTACCCAGGCCAAGAGACAGGCCAGAGCCTTGGAGGACGTGATGTTTTTTTGTTGTTTTTTTTAGAACAGGCGAAAATCAAAGCACGCGCAGATGTCATCCATAAAATTAAGTCTGTGTGGCCTTACCAGCAAGGAAGGGACATCCTACAAAATCATCACTGAAGGTAATGTCAAACATGACGATATTTCATCCCAGGGAAAAGCACTAAGGAAGTACTCCCCACTGTCCACTCACCTAACTCCCCAACCAAAGTACAAGATACAGAGGTAGTTGGCAGGCACATTCAGGATGTTCACAAACAAGTTGATGAACATTGCAGGATAGACAATACCCTGGAAGGAACAGGAAAGGTAACTTTTACATACACACAATGCCATTGTACTCTTTATGTCCTGTTCTGAAAATATTTAAGGCGCTCATGATTTCAATGACACAAAAAGATTAACCATGTTTTAACAACACTGCTAAACATCTTGATTTCAGTTGAATATTGTAAATAGTGATTCAGAAGCATATTATTTAATAATTCAGCCTTTGGCTGCCATTTTAATGTGACCTTACATGCATGGCATTACTTGATAATAACAATAATTATTGTGAAATGCATCATTACTATTGTTTACAAAAGTTTGCAAAAGTTTACAAAAAAGAAGTCAAACCCTTCAGACATAGGTTTAGACATAGCTATAGTTTTAGATAACTACCTTTCATTATATATTGTAGAGTTTAGTTATTTTATACTCTCTTTCAATGTTCTTTTATGTTTGTAATTTGTAATAAGCCTCCGGGCATGAATTTGCAATAAACTTCTAACTATTACATTGTACTTTTACATTTATTGTATTGACATACATTTACCCACCTGTGTACTCAAATACTTTGTTGATAGTAGAAACAGGAAAACTCCCTAAAACAAAATAAAAACAATAGAGGACATGTCAAGAAACATCCATAAAACATTATCATATAATATTATAATACTTGCACTTAGGTGCTTGTCTAGTGAAACTCATGCACTGTAGTGTGTGGGATATAAAAAGACAGGAACATCATGTCAACAAATAATTACACACTTCTACTTACAGGCAGAGCAGGAATGAACAAAGTCACAAACTCTCCAGCCAGTCTGCAAAAGGACAAAACTTACATGAATAATCATACATATTTGACTGTTTATCAACAGAATTAATGACATGGTGTTGTGGCAAGTTACATGATGCCAAAGCACAGCAAGGCAGAATTATGAATTCAAACCATTTTTACATCTCCCCAAACAAATAACCCATAAGATAAGGTAAAGTATGTAGTCCCAGTGCTTTGCCTGATGACATGTAGCAACTTTCCTTGCTCTTTCAACTGTAACTGTAATCCTAACTCTAGTTCACCAAAGGGTCAGACTGAATACAGTACAATGCAAATTAGCACCCTGTGGGTATATACATTTATGTCATACCCGGGCCGCGATAGCGGTCGATAATGGGTTCCGGATGGCTCGATGGCTTCCATAATACAATTCGAACGTGTTTCACCCTAGCCACGTGCGCTGCTTTCGAAAATTCGAATACAGAATCCGAACGTTGGAACTGATGTTGTTGCATTTGAGGGTTTAGGGGCACCAACGTTTGGCTCATCTTGCATTGAAAGGCGCGTTTTCTTGGGTGGGTATGACATAAATAAAATACAACATGGTGTATTCCGCATCGCCCTCAGTCCCGGCCATCCCGCAAGTCAGATTGCCCGACGGCCGCAGACCCACGGTCGGGCCAATACCTCAGGCGATACGAAATACCCCGTGTTATATTCTATATGTATTATGTAATAGAGGCACTCAACCATTTGGCTTAGCTCTAATTTCTGTTCTGTAACATTTAGCATGCAGAATATAGCTTATACTACTAGTTATTAGTGCTTGGCTTGTATCTAGGAAATACTTGCAGAGATGGAACTATCGGTAACATTTTCCAACAATCATGTCCTGCATTGTCATCTCATCATGAATGAATAATCATCAGTCAACCTTGTGCTGTCTTGCTGTAGGGCATGTAACAAATGTCAGCACTAAGTCTAACTCACCTGGCAACTTCTGGATCCTGATGAGTCAGCAGCAGCAGCTTCTCTGTGTTCATGTACAGACTCCAGCAGGGGAAACAACTCAGGAGCAGGATCAGAATACCTGGGAGGGAGGGGGTACATTATATTACATTATCAATCAGACTTCTTACAATCTAGAAAATTATGAAAAAGAAAAAAAAAATATTTCAAAGTTGCTTTGTACTACATGATTTACATTTGACTGTGGCTGGAAAGTAGTTCAAACCACTAATTAGAGATAGGGATTAATAGTCATTACAGGCAACAGAAAGTAGTAAAATATTTAATATTCATATGCCTTCATTAGTAGAGATACAAAGCAACTTCAGCAATCATTGGGTCAACAAAACAATCATGTCAAGAAGATGACCAAACAGGAAAATTGCTGTGATTTTTAATATAAATGACAGACTGAGTGCATATCAGTAAATCAGACCAAGCAAGAAACGAATCAGTTTCAACTCACTTCTTTGTAGAATTACACCGACTCTCATCTTGTTGTCGGATCCAAATGTCTGTATGGAACAAAGAAGTAAATTATCATGAAAGTTCATCTGTGTTGGTAGTAATCATAGTAAACCATTAAACTTTATTCCAACACACAATTTACAGAGATTGAATTTTCAATGACCACTGTTGCCTTCATCAGGATAATTAATGACCAATCACTTCACAACGAAATCTCGTGAATCCTGATGAAGGCGACAGTGGTCGTTGAAAATTTGATCTCTGTAAATTGTGTGTTGGAATAAAGTTAAACGGTTTACTACAAAGAAGTAAATTAACATATTAAAGATTACTAGTATGCATTAGACCACGCAGGAGCCAGTTGTCTTTGTGGGAAAAAGTAGTAAATCTTCATTGGCACATGTTCCTTAGGCCACACCAATTTAATTTCTTGGTTAACGGATTCGCCGCTTCATTTTTTTCAGATTTGCAAATAAAAATAAAAATCCAGAATCAACTGCAAAATGCTCATATTTTGCCCTGAACAGTTGAAAACAGACCTTTTCATCCTAGTTGTTACAGTTATTCCATCTTTCAATGCAATGGTATCATTAAAAGTTCAAAATTCATTGTTTAAATTTTGAAGCAGCCTGGTGTGTTGACTTCATGGCTCCTATCGTACCATTTTGGGCCATAATATGATGCCTAGGCTTGTTTTTATTTTTATTTTTTTTTCGCCCGCCCGCTCCATTATTTTTCTAGAAAAATCCGTTAACCAAGAAATTAAATTGGTGTGGCCTTACCTGTGCCATGAGGGTATCACAGGCTGTTCCCAGGCCAAACCCCAGGGATATCCCAGTCACATTCACAACCTGAAAGACACAGAAATGATTGTCAAGAATCAATAACTCTTTGAAAACAAAAAGGCACTTAATATTTGTACTACGAAAACATGATCAACTACAAAAACTTGATTAATCATTAGCATTATTATCATCACAAAATCATGATCACACCATTAGCATACCAGAAAGCAGGACTCTCCCTAAGAAACTGAATACTGTTGCACGACCGTATTTACTTTCAGAAACTTTTCAATTTTCAAAGATATGGTAAGGTAATTTTGCTTAAATTCATCAAAATTTGCTTGTTGTGGCATCTATATAGTAACAACAAATTACATGTTCTTGAGAGATCCCTGCATGTTGGGCATTGTTGGTGCCAGTAAGGAAATTGTATCAATTCTCTATATAATGTCCTCGGTGCAAGCTTCTGTATCTGTATCTGTATCTGTATTGGTAATAGTTGGTATAATTGCCCCTCGGTAACACACCAGCTTTACATGCACGCGGCACGGCGGCAGCTAGCTCTATCACACCGAACTACTTGTTACACTCCATCTTTGCACATTTAATTGCAGGAGTTGTTTAAAGCTTTCTAGTGATATACGATGATGCTCTAAGCTTACTAGTGTATCACAGATGCTGATTAACAAATAAACTTCCTTACAGAAAGTGCCAGTGTGATAGCATCCAGTTGTATTTTGCCCAGGTGGCCACAGAAGAGGATGGGCATCATCCACATGACATACTCCAGCACAGATGCTACAGTCTGGAGACAGAATATATTTCACACCTTTACAAAATGACTTGGACCACACCAATATTATAGCACAGGTCCTTTTTAAGTATATGAAACAAAAAAAAAACAGAAAGCAGAGAGAAAATGTTGAATCCAATCCTTGAACCTGTGTGATGTACCAAAAAGAGACTGAGTCAGATTAATATGTTAACTTTTTGATCTTCAGAAGTTGCAGTAATTACAATTGTGTGTACTACTAAGCCGTTAAGACACCAGATATACCTGGATAAAAGAACAAAATAACACAGGTTTTTGTCCTGAAATAGGTCAGGCTGTCAACTCAGTACATGTAGGCTATTCCAGAGGGAAAACCTCATCAATCAAACAGGGTAGGCGTGCTGCCTGACCACACGTGTTTTGCGTTTTGCGTTAGAGGTAGTCTTTGACAGCAACCAGCACATCTGTTTTCCCTCAAAATACAAAAGTTCTGCTGCAGTACCAAGGTCAGCCACCAGGAGGCCCATATTTGACCTTGACCTTTGGCTTCCTAAGACCTACCAGCATACCAAATATCATCACAATCCATAAAGGCGTTCTGAAGTTATGCTGACTTCAAATGTGCGGAAACACACACACACACACGTGGAAACAGTATGCTATCTACCCTGGCTATACTAATCTGCATGTGCAGTTGTTAATTTCAAGCCTTGATGTAACAGTACTTACAGTTGGCCAAGCAAGTCTTGTCAAGGCCCTCAGCTCGCTTCCGAAGCCAGGACAAAAGATGACACGAAAACAGCGCCTGAGATTCATTGCTGCCTGCTTTGAACAGTCTTCAACTTTAACCTAGGGAAAAGAATATGTTATAGACTTGCAGGTAAAAAAATGCATTATAATGAAGGAGAACATAAAATTGCCTGGATAAAACAGCCTCATATTTTGATAATATGTGCAGATCAATTACAACAATAGCAAAAATGTCTTTCTTCTGAAAAAAAAATATATACCAGCAACCACACAACAAATTTCACCAATTGTTAAGTGTATTGTGTGACATGTGAATGTTTACTTTACTTTAAACCAAGGTTAGATTGTAGTTAGTTGTTTAACTGGATCAGTTGATTGCCCCAGGCAAATGAAAACATTAGGAATGTGTCCTACTCTGCTATGACATCCTCCCAAGGCAGGGTCGGCGGCGCGGTATTCTATATACCTTACAACCGACCCTGCCATTTTACGTCCAGTTTTCTACTCCAGATGACGTAGCCTACAAGTAGCTGTCAGCCAATCAGAGACATAGCTTTCAGCTGGGCAAAGCTATCCGAGAGCCAATCATGTTACGTCTTACATCGCCTCTTTGGGTTTCATATAAAATGGCGGTTGGTCATTATGTTGTCTCAGTCGTGCAAGACTTTTTTTGGCGTCGTGAAGAGCTCGTGAACACCAGAAAATCACGCTGAAATGTGTTCCTTAGGACCAGAAAATCACGCCGAAACGTGTTCCTTAGGACCGGCGGACGGAAAAGCCTGTGTTACATGAGCTTTCAAGCCGCAGCCAGATCGAGCGGGCAGCGACGGAGCTACGGTCTACTCAACTCAAGAGCGACGAGTCCAGCATCCGTGGCCGTTTGGAGATGACCTCATTATATTGTGACAATGTGACAAGCTGAGCTTGCTGGGCCTGAAGGCGACTTGTTTAGGTATGAACGCAGCCAAGCCGAGACAGTGGTGACAGTGTCTACGTCCGCCATCTTGAATTTATGTGATCCTGGCGCTGATTGGCTTGTGCCAAATAAGGCAAGCTCATTAATATGTAGAGAACACGTTACCTGGAGTAGAAAACTGGACGGGTCGGTTGTAAGGTATATAGAATACCGCGCCGCCGACCCTGCCTTGGGAGGATGTGCTATGATAACAGTGGGATCTGTGGATAAATATGTATTAACCTAGAACAACAAACATGTCGGTACTGTGATTTAGGAAGAATCGAAGATGAGAAACATTTTGTAACAGAATGTAAGTGTAAGCTATACAAGAAAGAGAGATCAGATCTTTATAATCTGATACAATCTATGTTCCCCTTCTTCATACATCTAAGCTGTACAGATAAATGTATATTTCTAGTGAGCTTAGACAAACCTTCTGTATTGAAACATACCCATTCTTACCTTTTTAGTTTTACCATTATTAAGAAACGAGAAGAAACCGAATTTACTTAATTACTTAATTAGCTACTTAAAGATGTATATATATATACATGTAACGTTGTCTGTATTTTTCATTTTATTTTATTCACATGGATTTTTGAGCATTGGATAGGAAGCACTTGTTGTGCTTATGTAAATCCGCTGCTCATAAAACATACTACAAATGTAAACATAAAGATGACATAAAGTATAGCATTAACATAAAATGAAAGTGGCTGGCGCACCAATACCTAGCATAACATTATTGAGATTGGTCAAATCTTCCAGAGTGGTGGATATAGTTAAACACAATATCAAAGATACGGCAGTTGGTAGGGTATGGGAGGGAGGGGCTACCTGTAAGAAGTAAAGTACATAATGTGGCGTCGTTTACGTTGAGTGGGTCGGAAGGAAGTATGTTTTCAAGATGAAGGCAAGATATGGATAACAACATTTTGGTCCTTTCAGTATTATAACATTTGCAGTGTAATAAATAGTGTTCTGGTGTCTCATTCGGATGCCCACATTTGCACTCGGGACTACTGATACAGTGATGCTGGAATAGGTGGTAGTTCAGCTGGCTGAAACCAAGCCTGAGTCTGGTAAGGTGAGTCACATGGTGTCCGTGGCCGTGAGAGTAGTGAGGATGTCTGGGCATGCCATCAAAGCAAGACTCTAATTCATTTTTGAATGCACGAATGGATGGGGATTCTTTGGCGGTCTGGGGTAACTTGTTCCAAGAGAAAACAGCAGAAGGCAAGAAAGATTTTTTGTACTTTTCAGTTTTGAGGGTAAAAGGGAGATAATTCTGGTCAGTACGCAGGCCATAAGGGGTGGAATCACGGATAAGTGGGGGAACCAAGTCTTGTAGATATTTGGGAACTAAGCCATTGGCCATTTTATAAAAGTGAACAAGTTTGAACTTTTCGCATCTGTTGGCAAGTGTTTCCCAACCGACGTCACATAGAATGCGGTGGTGATTCGTCCCTCTCATTGCGCCTGTGCAAGCCCGGGCAGCGGACACCTGGACTGACTCAAGGAGGTCTGAATCCTTCATAAGAACACCACACCAGGCAACATTGGCGTACTCAAGTAAAGGACGTATCATGGCTTTGTACAAGATTTCAAGCGTTTTCCGTGGCACAAAATTTGATATTCTTGTCAACAAGTTAACTCGCTTCATTGCTTTCGTCACCAGAGTTGACACGTGGAGTGACCATGATAAATTTGGAGTGAGATGTAAGCCAAGGTGCTGGTGAGAGGGAGTTTCAGTCAGCTGAACACCTCTAAAGTATAGTGGTGGGTGAAGAACCTTTCTTCTTTTAGAGGAAAAAGTCATCAGTTCTGTTTTGCCGGGATTGAATGTTACAAGCCACTGGTCTGACCAGTCTGACACTACACTGAGATCATAATTCAGTCTGTTCGCTGAGACAACAGGATCCATGATTATCTCTAACAGTGCGGTGTCATCAGCAAAAAGACGGGAATCTGTTCGTAGGTTGTCAACAAGGTCATTTATACCATTGTCTGTATACCATTCTCTTGTTGTGACCTGTACTTAACACAGTGGGTATGTGTGTACAATGAAGGTCTTCATTCATTCATTAAAATTTAAATGTCAAATACTCGGGCTACTATATCATCCGGCTTATAATACATTTGGTACAAATTGTGTACAATCCCTGACAAAATTGAATGGCATAATTCTGCACTTACGAAATTATTATATGTATTGTGGACTTTGTACAGACGTTGATATGTTGATACTGCATTTTATTTTGATATATGTCATATATTGATAGAGCCCTGAAGTCCTCTCCAGACATGAATCTAGTTTAGTTTCTTAACTAATATTACACTGTACACTGAAACCCTTCCTTCTGAACTAAGAATACTAACGTTAACGTTAGTAGCCAAACTAAAGAAGGGGGCTTGATCTGGTCCCCCCTCCCCAAGCACCAAATTATTATGAGGCAAGTCTGAATATTCTGAAATCACAGCGTTACCTTACTTAGGCCATTGCTTAGGCAAAAAACGTACCTGGCTTTGTTCTGCGTCTTGTTCCCTGTCCACAGCCCCACATCACGGCTCACTAGGTGTGTTAATTACGGAGAGTGGCTCTACCTCTATTGTTATACCTGGACTCAGCTCAGCTGACCGCCGTTTCGTGTGGGTTGCGCAATATGACCCCGGGCTGTACCATTGTATTAGTAGGGACTTTTTGCGACCCCGGGTTATCCCATTGCGGAAAGGGGGAATTATGCGTACAACTTTGCCCCTTTCCGGAATGGGATAACCCAGGGTCGCAAAAAGTCCCTACTAGTAAACTGATCTGTATCTGTATACTTAGTCCTTCGGCGTATTACACACTCTTGATAATGGTATTGGTAAATGGTAATGGTAATTTTAGTGTTACAGCCCTGGGCCATATTGCGCAACCCACACGAAACGCGGCATGGAGAAGGCCGTCTTTTGACCTAGCCTTGACCATGTTGACGTAGGCTCAGGTTACCGACATATTCAATTGCATTATCGTGTGTAATGTATAAGGTCTATATATTCCACGTATAACGTTATGAAATATGCGAACCCTTCTTACAACATGCGACTACAATCCCTACATTATCATTAACATCTGATTACAACAAACGGTACGCGGTACGAGAATACCTTCTTATAATTCCAAGTACTATTTTCTCACATTGTTGTTTGCAACATGATACTTAGCAGAATACTCAGCAGTATAGTATACAGAAAAGCTCTAATCCAACGGTACAAGATTGAATCCGACGCTACAGCCAGTAAGACAAAGAAAACTGTCCTTACCCAGGACAATGGAACGTCACTGGACAAGACTCTTCTTCTAACTCTACCTCAAGATTCCTGCATTCCCAGTTAGATATTTAACGTTAGCAGATCATTAATATTAGCCTCTGCCAGGCTTCGGGAGGCGCAGGAAAGAGTAGAAATCGGTGAAATAGAGAGATAGCATGCCGAGGGAGTTGATCCGCTACTGATTACATTCTGGAGCGGCAAACTGTTCTCTCCAGTAGACCAACTCCCTTGGCATGCTATCTCTCTATTTGGTCGATTTCTACTCTTTCCAGCCGCCTCCCGAAGACTGGTAGATGCTACATTGATATGATATCGATTAATAAAAGACAACTGTGAAGAAATACCTCTTTATAGCCAGTGAATTCAGAAACCAGGACTGAATTCTGAATGTGGTTACCTTCTGGCCTTCTTGAAAAGCGAAGTGAGTTTCTGGTGTGGACAATTGACGCCAGGTAATTCTGCCCGGCGGCTATATCTTATATGCAAAACACTCATCATGCAAACCAGGAAAAGCTTTTATGATGTTCACGGCTTTTTTTTTAATGTTTGCTTTAAGATTTTGCTAATCGGCGTTAACATTCACTAATATAAACAGCTCTGTTGTATTTTCAGTGGGGGAGCTTTTACGATCTGATGTCCTCTAAGCAAGCCAAAAGAAACTTGATCACATATTTTAAGGCTGAGTAGCACACCTGCAGCCTGGGTCGCGTGGTGCCCAGCTAGTCTCCACCAGACTTCTTTTGCGGGGTGAATAAATCGTAGAAATCGGCCTAAAAGGGTATCAATTGGCCAGAGAAGGTAGCCGGCCAGAGAGGCCATCGAGCTTCTCTGGCCGGCTACCTTCTCTGGCCAATTGATACCCTTTTTAGGCCGATTTCTACGATTTATTCACCCCGCAAAAGAAGTCTGGTGGAGACTAGCTGGGCACCACGCCCGCTCCACATACTAGTAAATAATGTCGCTGGGCACCACGGATCAGTGGTGCCCTGCGACATTAGGGAGCGGGCGGAAACTACGGAGGATGACACCCAGGCTTACACCTGCGGACAGCCCTTTGTTCTTTCCACCCGGGGTCAGGCCCGTATCACGGAGAATCTACGAGCAGCTGTTGACACACGGTCACAAGGTGTAACTGGTATCTTTACGAGAGAAAAAAACAACAACTAAACACGTCACTTGCTATACATCTGAAGCGATTATAAGTCGATTGTCTTGAAGAGACAATCTTTTAATCTTTAAGAGATGCCAATTTACTTTTAAAACTGTAAATACCCACAGTTTGTGTATTATAATATAAAACGAGCTCAATGGTGTGTAAATACTAACGCATTGTATTGTATTGGAAATAAAGTTTCAAAGTTTCAAAGAGCGTCGAAAGTGGCGTCCTTGATCTACTGAGTACTGACCAATCCATTTTTGTTACACCCCACCCATCTAGTATAAACCTTAAAACCAATCGATACAACCCCCATATATCAAAGTGGGGATATCAGCCCCATGAAATACTGGTATCGAAGATATGGCGTATTACTATGGCATGCTTTGAAGGGCCAGTTAAGCCCTTTCAACCTCCCATATACGATTGCTGTCTGGAAAATTGAACGGAATTTTTTAGGCAAAGTTTAGGCTTGTCAACCGTTAGAAAATATCAGGACGTTACCGCCTGCCTCAAATATTTACACACAGTTAAGCATTAACTTATTGTGAACCTTTGAGCGAGAATATTTTACAATAAAATCAACACACACACAAAATACTACATAATTCCAGCACAATTTTGTAGGGATCTGATGCCTACAATCAAGAGTAAATCAGTAAATCTTAAGATTATGGTTGTCACGTACTAAGAATGTTTTCTGCTTATGTCAGGCCTAAGGCACGTGACAAAAACACAAAGTCTACAACCTTTGGATAAACGTTAGCCAGCGTAGCGGTGTGCTAAGTTTCTATTGGTTGGAGATAACGGCCATCGCTTGTGGATCAGGTGGGAGGGCCCAGAACTTGTGGGTTGTCTTACATGAGCTTAAACTTTCCTTGAGCCATCGAACAAGTCACTACAAGGATGAAGAATCGTTGAAAGGATAGGGAAAGATGTAGACAAACTATTTCAGCACAGAGTTTGTAACAACTGATTGACTTCTAAGTCGTGCCAGCATGGCGGAAGCAACGGACCCCAAGGTAAGGCAACATGTTTGTACTTTGCACTTTGCATGGGCCAGGCGGTGATACAAGACGGGGAAACGTTGCAAAACAATTAAGTGCATTCTCCTCAGAATCTCTGGATTAATTAAAGAAGTGTGAGTCACTGTGACTTTCACTTAGAAAAGCCTCGTACCGGTATCTTTGATTTGTTCATTAAATATTTTTTTGGTCTCGGACTCTAATACTACAAAGCGGGATATGTTTGAACAATGTCTACTTCAATATGGCGGATCTTTTCACCTTCAGCTGAATGTTGAGTTTTTTTAGTAACTTTTAAAACTTCCCATGATCCGCTTCCCTGTTGTTGACGACTGAACCACGCAAAAGATTCGACAATTTTCAGAAATGAGTCGTTTAGCTTCTCTAATAGCTGTTAGAATATGATAGAAATCCATAAATATGTTAAATATAAAGGGTACATTGTCATAGTATGGTATCTGGAGCTATTGAGCTGCCGAGTCTCTTTCGTCCTCTACAAATATGTTTGAGGAGATCTTACTCACTCACTGAGGAGATCTGGAGGACGAAAAAGACTCACAGCTGGTTTGGACGCCGGGCTGATACGGACCGTGATAGAGGTACACGTGACAGATCTTACTAGATAGGAAATTTAGATGTTTGTAATACCCTAGAGGTATCAGAAATGCAATTTAATTGTGCACTTTATGTTGGAAATAAAACGGGCAGCTCGTTGTTAATGTTTACTGTTCAATTTGTGTAATAGCGCCCCTATGTGCATTATGTATAGCAGTCAGTAAATGATACTGATCAAACGTAATGTGACATTCTGTTTACATTGAGGTGGAATCAGTGTATGCCCTACTTTTCCTATGTCATTGTCCAATGTTGTATTTGCTCTTATGATTGCTGGGTTGTGACAAAAAATACGTTTTTTGCAGCGGTTGGTGCATATCGGTGTAGTAAATTTTAGTGATCAAGTTTACGTGTGATCTTCCATGCGTGCATTGTTTACAAAGGTCTAAACTCATATTGTTGATAGCTGTGTTGTCCCTGCAGTTGATTAACTACGGGACTGATGAGGAAACAAAACAATGAAACTCAGAAGAGATGTGCGACACCGACTTGCATTTCGCATGATGCGCTTACCGTGTATGTCTATCCGCCACAAGAAACGACGTAAAAGACACTACAAAAAAAAGAGTACTGCATACCGGGGTGTATTTTGCTTGTACGTTAAAGGCACAGATGCCATCGAATTGTATGCCATAGAGGTGATCGTTTTGATTGACATCAATTCCACTCCTTCACAGGATGTAGCCAGCAACGGTTCACTGATCGAGGCAGCCCTGAATGGAAATGTAGAAATTGTGCAGCGTTTACTGGAGGCTGGAGCAGAAGTGGACAAGACTGATAAGGTAGCATGGATGAATAACTAACATGACATCCACTAGTACCCGGTCCATTATTATGTACATTAATTAATAATTCATTGACCTGCTTTACTAAATATTATCAGTATAAGCAATTCCGTTGAAGACTTATCACATTCTACTGGTCCTTAGGATGGTCACACTCCGCTGTTACTAGCAGCCAACGAGGGACATGGGGATGTTATGCAGCAGCTGCTGAGGGCTGGAGCAGACGTGAACAAGGCCAAACAAGTAAGATGGAAAAAAAAAGTGGGACCTTACATTCCAGTCATCTACCAAGCCTTTGCGCAATAGATTTTGTTGCTCTCTATTGAATAAAAGCTTATGTGGGTTATTGTGTCGGAAAGTCTCATACGGTACTTCTCCCACACAGGACGGAACCACTCCACTAATCATAGCAGCCCTGGAGGGACATGTGGAAGTTGTGCAGCAGCTGCTGAAGGCTGGAGCAGACGTGGACAAGGCTGATGTGGTAAGACGTGGCGGATAGCATCGCATTTATCTGGTACGTCATATAGATTTTGCTCCCTTGCAACAGTTTCATTTAGAGTACCGCACATAAGATCAATGCATCTTTGCTCACATGAATCTTTGCATGTCTGCTCTTTAATCACAGAACGGATACACTCCACTGTACACAGACAGGGTATGGACATGTGGAAGTTGTGCAGCAGCTGCTAAAGGCTGGAGCAGACGTGGACAAGGCGGAGCAGGTAAGATGGATACAAAACGAGATCATATTTAACATTGTAGACTCGCATGTTGTATGGGACTTTCTCCTACTTCCCGGTATTCATTCTTATCAAATTCTACTCATGATCACACACAGACAGGAGCCACTCCACTGTACATAGCGGCCCAGAATGGACATGTGGAAGTTGTGCAGCAGCTGCTGAAGGCTGGAGCAGAGGTGGACAAGGCTAAGCAGGTAAGCTGGATTCAAAACCAGATCACATTTTTAACATTGTAGACTCGCATGTTGTATGGAACTTTCTCCTACTACCCGATATTCGTTCAAATCAAGTTCTACTCATGGTCACACACAGGACGGATCCACACCACTGTACATAGCAGCCCAGAAGGGACATGTGGAAGTTGTGCAGCAGCTGCTGAAGGCTGGGGCAGACGTGGACAAGGCTATGCAGGTAAGGTGGATTCAAAACGAGATCACATTTAGCATGTAGACTCGCATGTTGTATGTAACTCTCTCTTAATTCCCAATATTCATCAAGTTCTACTCATGATCACACACAGGACGGATCCACACCACTGTACATAGCAGCCCAGAATGGACATGTGGAAGTTGTGCAGCAGCTGCTGAAGGCTGGAGCAGACGTGGACAAGGCTATGCAGGTAAGGTGGATTCAAAACGAGATCACATTTAGCATTGTAGACTCGCATGTTATATGGAACATCCTCCTAATTCTCGACATTCATTCTTATCAAGTTCTATTCATGATCACACACAGACCGGATTCACACCACTGTACATAGCAGCCCAAAAGGGACATGTGGAAGTTGTGCAGCAGCTGCTGAAGGCTGGGGCAGACGTGGACAAGACTAGGCAGGTAATAAGATGGATTTGAAACGAGATCACATTTAGCATTGCTGACTCGCATTTTGTATGGGAATTTCTTCTACTTCCCGATATTCATTCTTATCAAGTTCTACTCATGATTACACACAGGACGGAGTCACTCCACTGTACATAGCAGCCCGAAAGGGACATGTGGAAGTTGTGCAGCAGCTGCTGAAGGCTGGAGCAGAGGTGGACAGGGCTTGGCAGGTAAAATTAACAAACCAAAAAATCGTTAAGTTGTACAGATTTTGCTTATTATTTTGGAAAAAAGCCAAATGTGCCATACCGTGTTCTAGATCTATAGCTGAAATAAGCCATATAAAGACATGACAAGGAAGATGTTTGGACAAAGAAACTCACACCTATCTGAAGTGCCGCATAGTTAAAACGGCTAGAAATGGTGTATTCTACAAGTGCTTGCTCTTGGCGATATCAAATAATGCCATCCTGTCTGTCGTGCAGAAATAGTCTGTAATTCCTGCAATGACAAACGTTTCAGGTCGTTAGGTGTGATATACATGTCTTAGTAGACAGCTGCCACCACGCCGCGTGCTTTCGAAACTGGCGTTACGCCAAGGGGCGGTTTTACAGCAATACAAATACACGAGCGCTTTAACAATTAAGAATACCTATAAACCCAAACTTATCATTTGCGAAAACTTTCAGAAATGATGTTGTGAATTGACAAAGTTAAGAGGAAGTAGCACCAAATTGTCGTGATGACAGTGGTTAACCTAAGTCCTGTTCTTCTGTCAATATATACAGTTTGAGACATCAACAGAAGAGTACACAGACATAACTCCGCTCCATTCCGTGGCTCAGTCAGGTGACTTGAACATTGTGAATCTTCTGGTCAGTGCAGGAGCGGACACAACATGTACAAGAAAGATCAAGGTACTTGGGAGGATTTTGTTTAACAATATACGTATTTAGTTTTTCTATTACTCATCTATATTTTTTATCATTTTTATCATATCATACTTATGATATTGCATGCTATACTACAGTCATGTATTCTGTGTCTATATGTTGTACCCATTTACATTGATTTCAAAAATGAGCTCTTTAAACGGAAGCGCTAAGTTAAAATACAGGACGAAAGCAACGTGTCGTACAATTAAAGCAACGCACAGCTGCATCATTTATCTGTTAGTACTTTATAGTATATACCATGCTCTTCAGTAGAGTTTTGGAACATGTCACTATGTATAGCTTGTCACAGTTTCATGTCTGGCAACGTGGAACTCAAACTCCTTGTTGCTCAGCTTGATGGTAGATCATAAAACCACCTGGTTGCTAAATGTATACAGCATTCAACGGTCAGGATGCAAAGGACTATGATGATGACAGCATTCAACAATATGTATTTTATACCGTACAAGACGTGTGTGTACTATCTGAATTCCAAAATGTCCCGTTGTGCATACTACATACAGAAATTTATTAATGTGTGCTTTGTGCTTTGTGCATTTTAGGATAAAATAACCGAGCAAATGAAAGAACAGAATCCCTATGATGTTGCTTTGGAAGGAGGCCACAACCTCATAGCCTACACAACTTGGACCGCCAGCAAGAGTAGGACAGCTAGCAAAGTACGTGTAAGTTGGTATTTTCCCACGGGTACTTATTATTATGGGTAGTTAATTTACTCTAGGGACTAATGATAGTTGGGTGATATTCTGTCAACTTCGAATAATAATTTAGTGACAACATATGTCGGGCTCAGGTCATTATACATAGTAACCATATTAGGCATATGATTTGAAGTACAAGAAAACATAATGCGCTTTAAGATGTAGATAATTGAACTATGTTTTAAATCCTAGCAAACTGCCGTCGCGTTTCCCACGAAGCTTTCAGAGCACCGCACCGCAATTGAAACACGGCAGGAAACAGAGAAGGTATGTGTATATGTTTCGAGTATTTGACATTGCGATCAAGACTTGTATATCACTTACTCTTGCAGTCTCAAGGTTCAGACGAAATTTACAGTGTTTTTTAACCAACATTTTAATTCAAACTATTCACATAGAATTAAGCCACAGTGCCATGACACCTTAATGACGAAAGATAAATTTTCATCTAAAAATTCGATAAAAAAAGCATAGATGTTTGCGAAACTGACAATACGCTTATTTCCGTTGGCAATTGGTCTCTGTGAATTTATCTGATATTTGACACAAGTTTGGCACCTATTTAGTAATTTATTGTCTCTTGTCTTCAAGAACATCATTTGGACCATCATAACAACAGTCCTAAGTGAGCACGTCGGGCGGAGATGGAGGGAGCTGGGCCGTCGTCTGGGCATCACAGAGGTAGACTTGGACGACGTCCAGTACAGGTGTGACAGGGACCGGGGAGGACTGAAGGAGATGACTGTAAGGAGTCTGAAGTTGTGGCTGGACAGGCAGATGTACTGGCCAAACATCTTCGACGTGTGGTGGGCACTGCAGAACATGCAGATGGCAGATGTGGCAGGTCAGTCACACAGCTAATTACAGTGAAGATATCATCATTGAACTAGGCACTAGGGATTGCAAGTACCCAATCATAGTATTTTTGTCTAAGGCCATGTTGATTTGATTATATGGATGACATCCGCGCGCGCATGAATTTTCGGCCGTTTACCAAAAAAAAAAGTTTTTAACCATACTGTAAATCGTACAAAACAGTTGCAAAATGAGCAAAAATATACCGTAAGTTACAAAAAAATAAGTATAAACTATACCGATGTCGTAGAATGCCAAAATCAAACGAAAAAAGACGAAATTGTAAGGAAATGAACTTGAAGATTAGATTATTCGCCAAACCATATTCTGTCCCATTTGTTCAACCCTCATGACCATGTAGATTTCATAATGAAAACAACTTTTTTTTTTGCAAAACTTTTTTTTATTCGCACGCTCGCATCAGTTTTGGGGCTCCCAGAGGATGTCATCCATATAATCAAATCAACATGGCCTAATTTGATAACCTCATAACCTTTGACCCATCCTGGTGATACCCTGCATTCTTTACTCATGACAAACACTAACTGGTTATTTTGTTATTGGTACAATATGCTACATCAACCCTGCTATCGGCATGTGCTTTCAACGTTGCAGATCTTGTTACAAAGACGCTAAGTAACGAGCGTAACCTCGCCGGGGTGAAGGACGATATCAAGAACGACGACGAAAACCGACAGAAGAACAAAGAGGGATTAACGAAGGAGGAAGGAGATGTAAGTGGTGTACAAGTTGTACAAAACATTCTACATAAAACAGACACATGCATATTTCAATACAAACAACTCGTTGCGAAAACACCAACGTCCCGCTTTGTACACAATGCCAACTTTCAGAAACATTAATAGGTAGGAAAATGGTTATATGGCGAAAAAAAATATTTTTAAATGACCCATACACCTGATGAAGTAATTCGTGGAGTAGTTATAACTGTGTGCCAAATTCCCCATCTCTGTAAAAGAATACACCAGGGCTGGAATGATCCACGTACAAGGGCGATAAAAATCTTTGCCTGGCTAGCTGGCTGGAACAAAAATTAAGTGGATCGACATACACAAATGAACCAGTTCCTCGGACAGACCCTGTCTGCGAGTGTGGATTTGGAAATTATTTACTATTTAACAATTACATTTTGTTGTATTGTTGAGCTGTAAAATAGAGCTATACTAATTATCAAGTCTGACATCTGATTCTGGGGATTTCCGTTGAAAGAAAGAGAAAGATAAGTTGTGGTGGTCTTCTCTGTTGATGTAATTCATGTTCCATGAAATGATCCATTCTTGTCACCCTTGCAGACCGGAGCTGCAGCTTTACCAGTCTCCAAGTCCTTCATCAGAGGCTTTGATGAAGTGTCCATCTCCTCACCAGGTTTGTGGGATTTGTGTAATCTTTCAGACGAGGAAAGTCTTCAACAGTTTCAGTACGCCGGTATGCCTTCCCCAAAACTTTCTCAGGATATTTTGCAGTCTCAGACACAGAACAATTGGCCTTCTAGACTTCATGGTGCTGCTCTATTGGTGGATTATTAGAGAGATCAAAAATGGAAGTACTAAGCTGTTTCACGGCTGCACACATCCGTCATCAGTCAGCAAGTACAAACTTTCCAGAACAAATGCATATATGAAAATGTTCACATCCACCAAAGATTCCGAGTATTATATTCCTATCATTTACCAGTCAGGTATATTACGGCAATTTCTGCCAATTATACAAATGACGAATTGATTTGCATAATTTATATCTACTGCGTAAGCATGTTGTCTTCATCCAAGTTACTTCATCCAGAAGTGCTGCTTCAGTACCAAGGAGAGCCCCTGGCTATAGGGGGCTCAAAATCTAATCATTTCCAGATTTGAGCCACACTCTATATATCATTAGATCCCATTCATACCTTCTGGAGTTATGCTGTTCACAAACAAACAGACAAACGCTACTAAAAACAAACTTCCATGACGGAGGTAATAACCATGTGCCTGACTCTCCAATTTCTGAACACTGTAGAGCCCACGTTTGACGCCTTCGTGTCGGCCAACCAGCGTGACTTCTCCTGGGTTCGACAGTGGGTTCAACAGTTGGAGTCTCCACCACACAACCTGAAGATCTGTGTTCACCACAGGGACTTCAAGATCGGCGTGCCGATCTCACACAACATCAACTGGGCCGTAGAGAACAGTAGCAAGATTCTCATAGTTCTCTCCCAGAACTTTTTGTCCAGTAACTGGTGTAAGGTTGAGCTCAGGGCAGCAATAGAGAAGGCTCTGAGTAATGACAAGTACTGTGTACTACCCATTTTGAAGTCTGAGTGTGAGATTCCTACTGAGTTAGCTCATCTGACATACCTGGACTGTACAGACGGTACTGTTGATGTAGACAGGTTGGCAAGTGGCATCAAATCTTAAGGAAGAAGAGGACAAACTTAACCAGTTCACCCAAGGAGAAACAATATAAAGGTAGTTGCAGTCCTAGTCCATTATTAGCCATAGTGTCACAAATGGACGAAGACAAGCTTATCATGTACTTACAGACTGATAAATGTCACCCTGTTGAACAACCTTTCCAGCGTCAAAAAGTAATCAATGTGTCAGGAATTGTTGACAACAAAAATGCCAATACATGTTAGAACTCAGTTGGGGTAGCAAATGTGATGCCTGGGATCATGAACGATTCATTCAACCAAGTAGGAAGGCTATTTTGAATGTTCTAGCTAAGCATGTTTTTTAAAGAATTGTAGTTGTAGAGTACAGTTGAAAGAAACGATGTTATCAAAATTGGAGGGAAAAGAATGTTGTGTATAGAAATGTAGCTTTAAATTATGACGATTGTCTGCTATAACTTTCAGTAACGTACTGATAATGTGAGACTGGCCAGTGTCACAAACACTCCATTATCACGTGTACTAGTATATGCTATACGTACTCTTTATGACCAATGTATGTCTATGATAAGTTACCATCCTTTTGAATATAACGTTAGAACTGTTAGTACCAGGTACGAAACATTAATACAAAATGTTCTTGTAAAATAACATGAAATGCGTGTAAATATCAGCTAAAATGGATTTGGAATATTATAGTTATGTCAAGTAGTGATTACACAATTTGTAAGCCGATTGACTTTTATAACATGTACAACCCTCCTTCGGTATCCCTGCTGCAATTCTGTTTTAAAATTCTATCTACGTGTAAGTCTCATAGATGGTGATGAATCCTAAATACTAGTACTTTTGTGACACTGGCTATTGATGCAATAAACGAAGATTGCTGAAACGCAATTGTTCATTTTCAGCCTTTGGTACTATTTTATTTTGTATATTAGGTGTCAGAACAGCAGTTGATTCAAACTATCTCACCACCAACAACATGTGTTTGGCGCGAACAAAGGTCTACTTGAAATATTGATGGTGGAATAAAAAAACTCACAGACGGATTAAACTGTCACAGGTCAAGGCAAACTGTTTAGAACATCTAGATAGGTCTACGGCAAAAAATGGTGACGATAAAAAGATTAATGTGTACAAACATCACAAAGCCACCTAAGGGCGAATCAGTAACAAGTGTCACGCCGATAAAACTTTGATAACGTTCCAAACACATTGTACAAGCGATACCAACTGAATAATTACATTATGGCAGTGTTTTCACGTAATAATAGTACACCTTACACAGTCAACTACTGTACGTGCTGGAACGATGATAATGATGGCGTCTTGCGTATGTAATGTGTTTACCAGACTGGGTGCACTATGACCTAGCCTTGTTGAGACACCTCATTGGATTGGCTGCCCTCCAACTGGTGGTAAAATATATACTACTCCATTGACAATATATATTCCTGTGACAGGCGAGAAGGCGCCTTGCCGCCTACGCTAAGGCTATAAGATTTGTCACTCAGTCTGACACTGTTTACCCTATTCAGGCAAAGGTCAATCAGTCTCACTACACTTCGTACGATTGTACTACCTAATATCCAAGCAGATCCTACGGTGTCAAAGCAGTAACCATTTGCCAGATCAGTCTCACTAACTTGTACGATTGTTCCACCACCAACTCGAAATTGCTCTCAGTCAAAACATTTATGCAAATCTAAAGTGCTCCTTGTGTCCTTTTGACTATTACAATTTGCACACATCATGCAACCCCCCCTCCCAGAAGGCTCAAAGGTCCACTTTTTAAGGTCCGAGATTTTTCTTTAAAAGGTGGACTGATTTTTATTACCTGCGGAGCTGAAATCCTAGCAACCCGCTCACTTTGTCATAATGATTGAATCAAAAGTTATCTCTGATTTTTCCTTTGAAATCCTGTCAAAAAGGCAGAAAATGACATTTCAAAAGGTTTTCCGGACCCCCTACGGCGCTCGCTGGTCCCTCAGACAGTAGGAAGACCCCCCCCCCCATTGAAAATAGTAGCATGACTGCATCAGTTTGGCACAGCTCATGTCAGACAGTGTGCTCTGATAACGTAATGTTGACCACTTCGGAGTCTTGCATCATGCTCTCGGCACGATACATTGTGGTGTTGCGTTGGTTTACATTAATGTGTAACTGATTTCTTTACACGGGCACTGTAAGCATGTTCCACGTTAACTTGTTGACATGGCTGGTTAAAAGTCACGCATTTTGAACGTTAACACGTGTTAGCGGCCTTGGCCTAGGCAAGGGCATCTTCAGCAGTTACATAACAACAACAACAACCAACTAACATCGTCTTTCGGTTGCGTTATTTTCCTTCTTTCCCCCCTTTTCTGACAGAAAATGAAGGCGTTTGTCGCAGTAACGTTCGCGCTGCTTGTGGGATGTGTCCGGGGAGAGTCTTCTGTCACGGACGGGTTGAGTGTTGAAGACATGCTGGACAAGTGCATGGACGGCAGACACCACAAGACACAACCTGGACCGGAGGGCTCGCTGTACAGACAGGTGAGTACTAGTGTGGGGATAACTACACGGACAACTGTTAAACAGTAGGAGTGGGAGGGCTGGACGGAAATGTCGAAGAAAAGGTACGTTACTAGCCTCCACCAGGCCTTTCTACGGGAATACGGATCGTAGAATTCGGCAAAAAAGAGAGTAAAATTGGCCAAGGGAGTCCGGCCGTGGGGAGGTAGTTTCTTTCCCTTCTGTGCGGCCAGTCAAACCCGCAAGGCGGCCAAACTCCCCTGGCAATTATTCTATAGCGTAGTTAGTCTGGTAGAGACTACTACGTTACATATGAGGTGGGGGGGGGGCGATGTTTCTCCAGGGAATGACTTCCAAGGTTCTTAGTTGCTGGGCATACGATCTAAGTTTAATGAACTAAATAAACGTTAAATAACTCAAGACATATCAAAGACTTATGCTAGCCCTTATTGTTTGAGTAATCAAGATATGTTATGTTTTATTCGACATTATTAGGTCTTATTCAACACATTTATTTTATTGTTTGTTACTTTCTTTATGTACATGTAGTTTGCCATACATTGTACCATGTGCAATTGTCGTACAATAAAGTTCTTCTGTAATATATAATTTTCACAGTGCTCCCCATGGGTTGACCGAGCCTGCTGCCGAGCCAGTACCACGGAACAGCTCCACCAGCCTCTGTGGCTGAACTTCGACTGGCACCACTGTGGGCAGCTGTCGGAATCCTGCGAGAGGCACTTCATGCAGGACCTCTGTTTCTACGAGTGTTCACCCAACGTGGGCCCGTGGCTGGTGCCGGTAAGATACCAATACTGCCTTGTTATACTAATAGCCTGTCCATGATGCAAGAACATTGAGCAAACAATGGTGACAAACAGAAGACCACAAAACACGTGCACGCTTGAAACTAGACTGAGAAACGGCCACTTCTGAGCGGAAGGGCGGGACATAATATATATACATGAATACATCTTCACCCAACGGTACAGCTTACTAGTGCACACTATATTATAAAGCAGGGGATTCCCAATACAAGATCGATCGATATTGACATAGCCCCCTCCTTTGTACATGTGAGTAGCCTAAGTAGTCTAGCATAGTCTAGCAGGTTTTCAAATACAAATTTAAACTTTTCATAGTTACATCTCACCTAACCTTGCATTCGAAAGATACCAGAAAAACTCTATTTCCGAAACACAACATGTTGATTCCAATGAGTATAATGACGAAATTTTCTATCAAATTCTTTTAATGATTTTAAAGTGGAACCAATTGTACAATATTATGTGACGTACTGTCCATTTGTATTACATATGTCTGTGATTGTTTCCCTGCACATTCGGCCAGTAATAACCGAAGTAACTTTCTTATGTTCGAATAAAGAATGATTTTACTACAGAGGGTATCCCACTCTTTAAGGATATCCCTGTTGGTAGGTATCTTACACTTTCTTCCTCTCTGCTAGGTGGACATGCAGATCCGGAATGAGCGGTTCGCGGGCGTCCCTCTGTGCGCCACGGACTGTAACCGCTGGTGGACCGCCTGTAAGGACGACCTGACCTGCTCCGGGAACTGGGGAGTCAGCTGGAACTGGACGTCTGGTCAGTGGATCCTCAAACATCTTTTAGTATCCTTAAATAAAGATTATATGAGGAAAAAATAAGGGAAAGTCATGTCTTCTAAAAGTGAAGTACGGTTGTCAGTGCTAGTTGGTAGGCCACAGGCATGAGGTCCATAAGTCATATAGGTACAACATTAAAATGGCATAAGAAGTTCCATACATACTGCTGTACATAAAACAACCTTCATTAATTAACATTAGTAATTGTTTGGACAGCGTAGTGACATTTTGCTAAACTTAATGTCTTCAAACATTTTCAGGCATATGTATGTAGTAAGATTTATGCGTTGCAAAAAACGGTACATTTAGTCATAAATTGTTGATGAAGCATGTATGAAAATGAAACCTAACAAGGACCCAAACGTTCGATTTTTTGCAGGTCAGAATACCTGTCGGCAGGGGGCGCAGTGCAGAACCTTCCAGGACTACTTCGGCACGCCGAGCAACTTCTGCCGGAACATCTGGAACGGTTCCTTCGCGGTGGTGGACGACAGCGCGCCCTGCTTCACCCTGTGGTTCAACGGGACCAACCCGAACGACCGGGTGGCCAGGCTGCGGGCTGAGGAGATCGTCAGTGCGAGGGGCGGCGCCGGGAGTGTTGGTGCCCCGCACCATCCTCTCCTTGTCGCCGTCCTCATCGTGATGACAGTGGTTTTCGGGCGGGGTATCCTCAGTTAGGCTCAGTATCCAAAAGGAGCTTTGAGCGTTCTAGGAAAGTACCATCGTCAATGGACCTATACCATTATTACGTCACAGTTTGTTTACCGCAATGAATGCCGGTCAATCGACGTTTATATATTGTACAAGGGTGCGTAGCGCGGTGTGTGCTTGTGTAGCGTTAGCCTAATATAAGGCTTTTAATACAGTACTACTTTCGTCTAATGTCACAACTAAATCACCCATGCGGCATGTAATGCTGTGTCAACACAACTAGACGCAGCAAAAATCAGACATACCTTACTTTGAAAACTTTGAAATGATCTTTATTCTTTAACTGACCGTTCTAGAATGTTCTTTAGAACAGGTAAACAAACTGTGACGTAATAATGGTATAGGTCCATTGTCAGGGACTTTAACAGCTTAATGTAGTTAATAGTGTTCATCTTTAGTTTGTTTGTTTGACCAGAGCCATATTTTAGATGCGGTATTTCGATGGGGAACACTGCGGCGACACAGCAAGGAGCTTCAGCTAGCTATGTCTATGAGGATCACCCGAATCAGATGATTGAGATGCTCGTGTAAAGGAGCTTCATGTCTATGCATTTTATTTTCACTGTCTATAATACAGCAATGTCTTTTACCAACAAAAGAGCACACAAACATGATATAAGAGTCGATTCATTCTTTGACTATCGTTATCTTTTATAAAATGGAATATCGGGCCTGGTATATACCGGCAAACAAAATGTTACTGAAGGACTTACGATGTGTCGGCCATTAATTAAGGGTTAATGACCCGCCCCGAGGTGAATATGGTGTGATAAAGCCTTGTCAGTTGCTATAACCACCGAATAAAGGCACCAAGTGAGCGCAGCGAACGAGGTGGCTTTATGAGGTGGTTATAGCAACTGACAAGGCTTTATCACACCATATTCACCGAGAAAGGGCGGGCCATTAACGCTATTATCATATAGCTTACACGATAGCCTATCCAAACTGATGGAGTAAGTGACACAATGTACAATTTACCCCTTGCACATGCTGAATAGAGCATAGTTCCATCTGGAGTCACCTGAGGACACAGGGCAGGGTTCACGTTCTATGTCTTCTATCTGGGTCACAGGCAGGGAACAGGTGTTCTTATGGGAGTCACCCGAGGTCATCGGAACACAACTCAAGTTATTTTTGGATTTTTTAGAACTAGAGCCGTGTTCTATTGGGTCACCTGAGGTCATATGCGGGTGATTATTTGGGTTGTTTAATGTATGGATTGGGATGAATAAATACCCGATTTTGACTCTATTTGTGACATTACGGCGTCATAAGGAATGTGGAATGGAGCCTTCTGATTGGTCAACGTCACCCGGCTATATGATAATGACAATTAAGCCCTGGCCCGTATTTTATCATTATTAAGTTCCCCAACTTTGGACATTTAAATGAATCAGAAAAATTCATATTTCTTATGAAACTTGACAAACCATGTATCACTACTTTGTATATGCTCGTACATCTATAACTGTCTCAAGAAGCGAGAAGAAGTCGAACAATGTAAATAGTAGTTTACATTAGTATGTATAGTTTAAGTGCAATTGCTGTATTCTGTCTATCCATGACCTGTACTTAGCTTGTTAGAGCACAAATGTACAATAAAGGTCTTTCATTCAATTAATTGCCTAGGCTATCAAAACATTTAATTGGCGATTAATTACTCAAGGTGTTATGTTTGGCGCTTTTGGCAAAAGTGTGGCGACGGTCGGCCGAAAGTTTTCAGTGATGAATGAAACCACTAGTCTATTAAATTATTGAATTTAGAGAAAAAGTTGAAGTCGTATACAGCGTTATAAGCCCTCCCAACAAAGATACATCCACGCTGTATTGCGTTTTCTTAACTTAAAGAACGAAGTATATATTTTCTCTACGGAACTTTACTCCAACTGTCCTCCAAATTAGGCCAACTTGGCGTAATCCTTTGCAATGTCCATTCATCCACCAAGCATTCTTTTAGGTTCAAACACTTGAGCAAGCGCAAATCCCGCCAAAATTCACATGCAAACGCAACGAGAAATCCATTCTCTTTTTATTTTCAGGAATTGCACATTCTGAAAGAGGTTTTATATGTCAATAAATTTCGTACGTGTAGCTTTTAACATAAAGTGGTATGTGTGGTTATATTGTCTTGGCAATACCGTTTACGAAATTGCTTTTCGTGCCGTTGCGTGTCCATGCGGTCTCTTCACAATTCGACTTAGGGCAACAATGGCGGACAGGCGTCGACGTCGACCCAGCGAAAGCGAAGGCGAAGAAGGCGAGGAGGAGACGTTATCGACGTCTCAGGCCAGCCTGGGAAGCACAGAGGACCCATCTCACTCCGGGGAAGACGACAGAGATCGCCAGTCGCCCTGTGAGAGCGAGGGAGAGCACGCCGAAGCGTTGTCTGAGTACGAGAGCGCCGAGGAAGATAGAGCGGGGGAAGCGGACGAGGTATTTATATGCCCCCGGAACACTGAATCACTCACGGGATATAGCGTCGAATTTCCCCACTTGATAAGCTTTATTTGGGCTTGGCAGCAATTTGTAAGCCCTCCCGGATCATTTGGGAGGCATGTCTGGTCAAACTGCTGCTGTAAAGGAATTTGATTTAGGCACACGTGGAAAGTACATGTGTATGCATGTGGGAACACATGTGACATGGCCCAAAAAATTATGGGCGATGATCCAACTACAGAGTTCGATGATATCTTCCGAATAGAAAAAACACCCAATCCTTAACCAGGCTAGAAAGAGATTATGAACTAAGACTGTCTTATTTTTCGAGTTATTTATACCAGAGTTGCTAGTACTAGTATAATTCAGCGTTGCAAAAGGCCTAGGGAAACGCCCTACAATTGCAGAGTCATTGTTTGAAAATGAAAGAACCACACTGTATGTGGAAACCAAGTTGTTGGTGAAAATTATTATGTGGTTTTGATTATGGTCAAGTACATTGAACACATGTAGTATGTTTCAACTGTTATAGTGTAAAATCTTGCTACAAATACAATATAGAAACTTATAATATATTCTTCACCGTAAACATGAAAACTAGCCCAAGTGCAGCTGATTCATGTGCAGAACAATGCAAATAGTAGTCTGACAAAGATATGCAACTCAGACAAGGCATGACACAGTAGTTAGATCAGAGGAATCTGAAATTTTATGTTCTTGCTAAAGAATGTAAGCTGTATCCCTCAAAAAGAATGATACCAAATCCAGAACCATCAGTGGTCGCATTGAATTAAGCTGGTTGTCCTCCTTTGTTCTATAGGACGTTATATTGAAGCTCCTTGTTCTTCTTCTTCTTGTATACTCTCTAACAACCCCTACTGGGGTATCACTGAGAGGGGGGGTGCGACGGACTATGGCTGCGCGGCCAGGAGTCCGGCCTTAAAGGCCTCCACTGTCTGGCCTTTTACTAACTGTCCCGTCAGCTTATTCCACTCATTTATTGTTCTTGGAAAAAAAGAAAATCTAAAACAGTCTGTCTAAAACAGTTCTAATGCAACATAAAACATTGTCAATACATGTATGTGTGTGTTTTGCAGGACTCCCAGGCTGAACAAGGGGACAGTGACACAGAACATGAGGACACCCGAGCCGACGATGATACAGAAACGGAAGACACACAGGAAACATCGGAAGAGACCCAAGAAACCGGAGACACGCGTGACCTGGACACCTCCAAATCCACCGTCTCAACTGACGGAAGTGATAAAGGGAAGAAGTTGGAAAGACAAAGTGGGGATGGATCAGAAGCTCCTGACAGTGAGGACCAGGCAGAAAATCTAGATGATGACGAGGATCGCCGCAATCCCGCGTTTATTCCCAGAAAGGGAGACTTCTTTGAACATGACATTCGTGGGGAGGAAGACGACAAACAACAAGGCCGCCCTCCCGTTAAGGGGCGCAGGAAGCTGTGGCAGGACGAGGGGAAGTGGCAGCACGACTTGTTCAATGAGGATGAACAGAGGCCGAAACCTGTGGAGGAGCTGATCGCGATATACGGGTATGACCCGAGGAGAGAGTCCAGTCCCGACAACATCCGGCCCAGAAGGGGAAGAAGGCCGCCCCGGGGAGGGGGGCGCGGCGGCCGTCCACCGCCGCGGACGCTGAGAGACTTTGTGGAGCGCCCGCCGCCGCCACGTCGGGGCTTTCCTCCCAGAAATAGGACAGATGTACAGACAAGGAACCGGGCCCAGTATACACAGGATGTCAGGCAGTGGGCTGCAAATACGAACAATTACAGAGACAATGGACCCTTGGATAATGTTGTTAGTGACGAAAATAGAAACCAGCCTGAGGTCTCCAGGCAGAAGCCAAGTGTGGAGCAGGCTGTCCCTAATGTTATTAACAATGTTCCTAGTAATCCTATGCCCAAGAACAGTGAGAATGGTGTCACAGTAGCTCCAATGCCAGTGAAGGCTCCTACGAGCACAGAGAGCGAGCATCAGCATCCCGCGCCGCAGGAGAAACGTTCGTACACACGATACCGCCGTAGCACGCAGGCGCCCAGGACAAGTCCACCTCAGCAGCAGAATATCCGCAAACGGATGGAAAATCTCTCCCTACAGCCTGGAGAGGAGTCCGTGGCTCAGGACCGCGGGCACGCAGACGGGTCGCCGCAACATCCCGAGGAGAGACACGGCCCCAACCGCTCAGATCGACCCAAACGGTACTCCTCGCTCCGCCAAAGGCCCATGCCCGAACAGGTGGTGCCACCCAACATGGTGAAGGGAGTGACGTACTACAACCAGGGGTACCGTGGGGAGCAGTTTGCCAGAGGTAGCACGCCCCCCGTTGTTGATGGACCAATCCAACCTCACCCCACAGGGCCCCCTGCTCCCCCCCACCAGGGAATGATCGTGTCTGATGTTAACCTGCCGCCAGGCATGGCCCACCCCGCCATGTACAACCCCGCCATGACAATGGCCCCTCCCGTCCCCCCACAGCTACTCCCGCCTCCTTTCTTCTCAGCCGGAGGGATGGTGAACTATGCAGCAGCCCCTAACCCTGTATCTTCATACGCCCCCATCCCCCAAGCCGGGCCCACAGCCCCCACCCCCAACGTACCTCCCGTCTACACCTCCCCGCATCCCCCGTCGGCGCAGGTTGTACGGGGCGTGACGTACTTCAACAACCAAATGCCGCCGCAGGTGTTGAAGCGGTCGCCAGCTCGTCGCCCAAACGCGGCCATCCCCATCGAGCCTCCGCCGGACGTGAGGGGTGATCCGACTGCCAGCGAAGAGGGAGCTCAGCCAACCGAGGCTTAGCTTTGTACTCATTGGTTACTTTTCAGGGGATGAAACCTAGTGTTCTCTCACTCAGAGTAATTACTGGGAATACAGTATAATGTATTTCTGTTCTTAAATACTGTGTAGTATGTACATTGAAAGTATGACTGATTTGTCCAAAGTTTTTGAACAGTAACAACAAGTTCAGTGTAATCCCTTTGACTTGTTTCTACATCTTACTTTAGAAGTGAAAACTTATTTTTGGTGTGAAAGAATTGAGTTTCACAATTTTTAGTTTGTACAATCTGGTGCCTATCCCAAAATCCTCAACAGTAAAAGGCTAACTACTCCAAGGTAGAATGAGAGTTAGATACTTTTGGGTTTCCAGCTGATTTTGTACATTTTACAAATGTAACTAAAGCCAGTCTATAAACCTTGCAATTTTCCTAGTAAATGTGTGAGCAAGGATAAAGATACCCTATTTTGTGTTAAGCAAGTGTCTAATTTCTTGGGTTGATCAGTTTTCAAAAGAACAAGTGCTATACCCGTAATGCAACTTGGTTCAACCATAGGCCTGGGCAGCCAGCCTCCTATCTCTTGTGTGACATATGTATGATTCTCTCTTTGGTAGTTTGTAGTTGTTATATTTGATGTGATGAAACAGAAGATATGATCACATAAGAAGACACTAAGGGAAGCTTAAGTTGTGTAGTATGCCAGTTTTTCATGCTGAGTATTTGATACAGACCTACAAAAGGCAAGTATGACTGGTACATTTTTATGTGTAAGTTTTTTCTTACAACTAGCACATGTGGAACATGCAAGGTAACAAAAACATGTAGAATTGACCATTACAAATGGTATGATAGCCTTCTTTGAAAGGTGTGGTCTGAGTTGTGTGCTTATAACTATTGTACATTTTGTCCACCCTGTAGTAATACTAGTAAACAGGGTTTTGTAAAATACAATGATTATTGTACTAGTCACTTTTCATCACCGACAGGGACCACGACATTACTTTTAATACATTGTCAGTCCATTTGTATGTTAAGAAGTATCATTTCCCTGTGGTGCCCATGTCAAGTCACACAGTTTAATACCTATCAGAAAAAAAACAGTACTAGGCCACCCAAAATCTTGCGCAGTCTGCCTTCAGATTCTGTTGTTTACTCATGTGTACATGTATATTATGCAAAAGAACACATATACAACGGATACAGCTCCTGTCTGATACCTATGTGTTTATTACCTATTTGCCACTAAAAAGGAGAGAGGTCTTGTATAAAGTGCTTATATCCTGTAATTATTAAACAAATTGATAACAACTTGATTCTAGGAATTGTTTATCTTTACTTTAAAACACAGCGCTCACACTTCTAAGAAGCCTTAGTAGAAGATGAAAATAATGGTGACAGAAAATACTATGTTGACAAATGTTATAAAATTACGGTACCCCCAAAAATGATAGACTTAACTCTACTCAAACAGATTCAATCTGGAATGTCCTATCAAAAATTCATTCGTACATGCATGCCAAAAATTATATAACATAATTAACATAACATCAATCCCATCCATATACATGTATAAGTTATCACCAGTTCTGTAAATGAAATATTCCAATTCGCATATACAAATAACACTGCACTCAAGAGTATTTCTACCATCTCTAAGACTAGCTTTTCTTCTTTTCCTCCTTAGTTTCTACCACTGGCACATCCCTCTTTTTAAATACAATGCACCAGAAGAACAACCAGTTGGGGAAAACTGCCAGGGCTAGTAATGAGTACTGCCACGTGCCTAACACGTAACCATGGATAACTCCACTCAGGATGTTGTAGTACACAACAGTGCAGAGATGGATGGCGGATGGGAAGACGCCGTGGTACTCTGTTTCAGTGAGGAGAAGGTACAGCCCTGTGTACACGATCAGCAGGCCAAAGGGTGACACAAGTAACATCAGTACAGCCTGTAGAAACCTGCAATGATGTAAAGAAGAAAAAGTGAACCAGGAAAGTAACATTTGCAAAGTAAGTGCATGCTTTTTACATTCACATGGTCTATCAAAAAGAAACTACTGCTCTCTTGCTTGCTTACACAAACACATTCACATATATCGTGAGCAGCCCCTCCAACTCTGTCCTGTTACGTAAATGTAACCCAACACTGCTACAGTACTAGTTGCCATGGTGACAGACGTCTGGTCCAGGCCATTGCCTTTATTTGTTTGGAGAAGAAGAAGAAACTGAGCTAAAACAATAAAACAACATCTAGCAGACCATATGCGGAATAACAACATAAAAATTGTATATTTATGCTTTTTTTTCTCATCTTGGACCAAAGTTGTTTCAAGTCAACATCATTTCATCCAACACTGATCATTCACTAGATTGTGAGTAAAGTATTCAACATATTTGAATCATGAAACTAATGAAGATGTAATAATAAGTAACTGTTTATACAAAAACTAGAAAGGTATAACATTATGCAAAGCAAATGCATAATCTTCACTTTCGCATATGGTCTGCTAGATGTTAATTCTTACTCATATCATAAGATTATAAATGGTGACAGGAGTATAAATCCCTCCTGCTATAAAATTGCAACATTTTGTAACCCAACACTAGTTACCATGGTGACAGACGTCTGGTTCAGGTCATTGACTTTATTTGCTTGGAGAAGAAGAAACCCAGAAGGCAAATATACTAGTATTTCATTTGTGGTGTACATATTAATGAATGGAAGTTAATCCTTACCTGAGCTTGCCTGGTCTGACCATCGCACACACGGGTACCATGGTAACAGCCATCAGCATGCCCAGAGAGAAGTTAGCTGCAGCTGTGGCAGCCAGTATGATGGCCTGCAGGACAAGCGCTGCACACTTCCACAACCGTAATGTATTCACAGTACAGGCCAGCCGGTACCTAAGGATATCAGATATTACGTCACATCTTTCAACGTGTAAACTGACAAAAAGGCAAAGTTTGATACAGGCAAAATTAATGTAGCATAATTGGGCCACCTCACTGGCCTATTGGGTACAGAACTTTTGTGTACTGTAAATGGATATACTTTTGCGGTGATTTCGTTTTTCACAGTGTCCTCTTACTGCAAAATCATGACCCCATGAGTAAGTGTTTTGTACTTTTATTGTACTACAGAATCATTTCAACTGTGAACTTCAAACACTGAGAAAACCTCATTTCCCTCATACCACAAAATAAAACCAAGAAGTAAAAGGTTATAGCACCATAACATCTTCTACACATATTTGCAATCATTCCTTCAGTATAAAAGAACATTATACATTGCAGTGACATATACAAACAAGTTGTTTAAAACTTGTAAACACACCTGGTAATGCACATGGGCATGAAGAGGCTGGCAAAGAACATGCCAGTGGCCCCCGTGATGATGGCCTGGTAGGGCTTGGTGCTGAACAGGTGTCCCAGTCCAGTCATCACCATCGGGCTGACGGACGAGATGAACCCTGCTACCTGACAGCACGCCACCACAGGCACCAGCGACCAGCCGTCACCGTTAGAGTACTGCATCAGAACGACATACAACAAGAAACGTTATCATGAAAGTTCATCTGTGTTGGTAGTTACATGTTTGAAGTTAAAACTTTTGGTCCAACACAAAAAATTCTCTCACCTAGAGCTTTCGACCTGAGTAACTCTGGTCTTCCTCAGACACTGAACAAGACTATTTCTTGAGAGGGGTGAAGGAAGCCATATACATCAGGGCGCATCACCCTTCATTGAACCGCGACGGGGGCCGACATCGTCTACCAGATACCTTTGACCTAGCGTTGATGTCACACTTCAAAGAGGCCACGTGACAAGCCTCACTGAGTCAGTCTACTGAGGAAGACCAGAGTGACTGGTCGAAAGTGAGAGAATTTTTTTGTGTTGGACCAAAAGTTTTAGAAATTTTGGCCACCCCTACTGGTAATGCAGTTCAATCTCTATTGGTATAGCCGGCATAACTGCCCTTCGGCGTAACACACCAGCTTTGCAGGCACGCAGCACAGTGACAGCTAGCTATATCACACCGAAAAACTTGTTACTCTCAATCTTTGCAAATTTAATTGCAGGAGTTGTTTAAAGCTTTCTAATGATGATACCCCAACTGTGCTTGGTGGCAATGAGTTCCACTCTGTGATAGTTCTTGAGTTTTTGAACTTGGTTTATGCAATACTTAAAGGTTTCCTGAATTCCCCCATATTGACGTCTAATTCCGATTCTCTTGGCCAGATTCTGAGACCTTTGGTTTCCTGTCATTCTGCCTGTCAATCTTCCCCCACCCATGTGCTGTCAACCTACTGTCAACTTGAAACTCGAATATTTTTGTACCCGGAAGCCTGTCTTGTAAAAATCAAGATTGTCTATAATACTCATTATTAATACATCAAAAGAAACATAACTGGAATAGAAAAATATTTAAACTCGCATTTTGAGTTCTTATCTTTGTTACTCCTCTTCTAGAGACCGTGTTGTCTCCCTGGCCATCTTCAGTCTTCCCTGATTGAATGCGCTCAATCTCTACATTCTCCCCACCCTCCCAAGGGTCTGGGTCGGGTGTGCCTATGCTGATCCATAATGCAATGGCATGGCAGTTGTTAAGGAGAAAATAGTAGTTGATCTGATCCATATTCACTCAACAGCTCATAATGTCTTTTAGGGTTATTCCTAACACTAAAGAAAAAAAAATGTGCACCAAAATATTTTTGTAGGTTTACATATGTAAAGATATTAAATGTTATTTAACTAATATACAGCATAACTAACTTTTAGGTGTCAGAAAAATAATAAAATCATCGTTGTAATACTTTTCATTAGAAATGAAACATAATCAGTTTTTGCTGACATTCTACTTATTTTGTTTTATATGGGGTACCCAAAACAATTTTGCGCACCCAATTTTTTAGGTTGGGTGCACCAGAATTAATTTCGAGCCCTGTGTATGTCTGCCAAACCAGTAAATGAGTAAATAAACAAATCCCCCCAACTACAATGACATAGGTTCAAACTCATGGTCCCCCACCCCTACACCAAGCACACTACACTACACAGTTGGAAAGGATATTTTAAGTGCTGTAACAAGCAGGATCAGGCCAAACGGTGGCATGTACATCCCGATGGACACATAGCGGTCAGAGGCTGGCAGCAGATAGAAGAAGAAGGACTGGTGGAAACGCTCCAGCAAGTTGTTCAGACTTCGGAAAACTCCCTCCAGCACCCTGGATCAGACAGGAAGAAAATACGTCGAGTCAAGGTGCATTGTTCTGTTTCAGGTGATTAGACCACACGAATTTAATTTGTTGGTTCTCTGATTTTTTCAGAGAGAATATAAAGCATAAAGCAACAGGGCGAAAAATAAAAACAGGTCTAGACATCCTATTATAGCCCTAAATGCTATGATAGGAGACATGACAACACAAAAGGCTGGGTTAATATTTAAACAATGAATTTTGAACTCTAATCAAACCACTGCATTGATAGAAGGAAAAACTGTAAGAAATAGGAAGAAAAGGACTTTCCTCAACTGTTTGGGTGCAAAATATGAGCATATTTTATTTGCTTCAGGACACAGGACTAGAATCTTTTTTTTTGCAAATCAGAAAAAAATGCAGAGGCAAATCTGAGAACCAACAAATTAAATTGGTGTGGCCTTATAATGGTCCACAAGCATGGCTAGAATTTTCAGTTTAGCTTTAAGCTTCCACTATTTGTTACAAGATGGACAGGTGCTACCTACAGTGCATATGGCAAAAGAGCAGAGAAAATTTCCTTAGTACAATGAACAATGGCCTGTGACTTAACACTGTAAGGACTGATTTCAGTAGTTTACAGGTTGGTTGATTCAAAATCTCATACTTCTCATACTATAGAGAAGTAGGGTCACAAGCCTACTGTCATTGTAGTACAATGACATCAAACTCCAAAACTCTCTCTCAACAAAACTCCTTTTGCTTGAAGCAGGCCTGTGAACTTGCGAGACGTGCCCTCACCTGCCCATCCTGTAGAAGCCGGTGGTGGCGCGTCCCGGCTCCAGGACCCCCTCCAGAGTCACTGCCTCGATGTGGTAGCGCAGAAACAACCCGTGCAGGCCGTTAGGCATCCCTGTGGCCTGGTGGAGCATCATCAGGCTCATGGTCTTCAGGTTCTGTCGGAAGGCTGGCCACCCTTCAGGTGGGAACGGGTCGTGCTGACAAGATGGGGTAAAATGGATATCATCAAAATTGCTTACGTCACATATCAGTTAAGTCTTGTGCGAATAAGGTCACGTGTTTGTAAACCGTAACTCTCTCGAGATCACGTTGTGAATTGATTGGTCATTAATTATCCTGATGAAGGCGACAGTGGTCATTGAAAATTTGATTTCTGTAAATAGTGTGTTGGAAAAAAGTTTAACGTTTTACTATGATTACTACCAACACAGATGAACTTTCATGATACAGTCAAAATTGTCTGTACTGTACATTTAGTAGCAATTAAAGGGACTTCAAAAGAAAACAAGGCTTAACTAGAAGTAACAATTGCAGAGCATATGCATATAATGTAAGTTAATACTAGTATGCAAATAAATCCATATTCTTACTCAAACACATTCATATATATGGTGAGAGGAGTCTAAATCCCTCCTGCTATAAAATTGCAACATGATGTAACCCAACACTAGTTAACATTGTGACAGACGTCTGGTTCAGGTCATTGACCTTATGTGTTTGGACAAGAAGAAACAGAGCAAAAACAATATGTTTTCCTTCGGTAAACACAATAAAATACATCAAGTCATTTGACAAAACTCAACATTTGTGATGGCACTTCAGACAATTTACTTTTTTGTTGTTGGCATCAGTATATCAACCCAAGACTAGTGAAGCCAAAACAAAGTTCCAACCTAATGCTTTATGTGCATTCAGTGATACCAGTATTTTCACAAATAGAGTTGAGAATTTTTTTTTTTTTAACGGTGTCGCTCAATGCAAGGCCAATTATTTTTGGCCACTTCTAGGCATAGAGCTAGAGCAACTTAAGTGAGTATAATGTAGTTATGTCAGGAGATGGCGGTGGACCTTTGTTTTGAAGCTTTGTGGATTGTAATCGGACGGAAAGCAGCTGTTTGGAAGAGAGTTCCATAATTTTGCAGTCCGGGGAAAGAAGCTGTTGTTGTAAAATGACTTGGAGACAGGTATGTTAACGGTGTATTGATGAGAATTGGAAGAGAACCTAGTGACACGCTGAAAGGTTCTGAGCGGTGGAACAAGAAGTGCAAGTTCTCCTGAACATCGACCGTGAAAGTATCTGTAAAAGAGGGATAGGGATGCGACATTGCGTCTGTGTGAGAGGGAATCCAGCTTTGCAGCCAGAGAATAACTGATTACTAGTATATAATTGATGTGGCAATTCAGTACCTGCTTGTGTAGCTTGACAGGAATCCTCTCCCTGTTACACAGTTGAACGACCAGGTTGACCAGGTCCAGGTTGGGCAGCAGACCGTTCAAACCCTCCAGCTTGATGTTGAAGTGCGACACCTGGTCAGAATTCAGCTCCAGGTTGATCGCTGCCTGGATCGACCCACTGCGACCATGGAGGGGTGAGCTTTTCAGCACTAAGCAAGAATAAACGTAAAGATTTAGTTTCAAGTGTTTACTTTAATAGGCCATGTTGATTTGATTATATGGATGACATCTACGCGCGCATGAATTTTCGGGCGTTTCCAAAAAAAAAGTTTTCAACCATACTGTAAATCGTACAAAACAGTTGCAAAATGAGCAAATATATACTGTAAGTTGCAAAAACAATATTTGAAAACGATGCCAATGTTGTAGAATGCCAAAATGAAACAAAAAAAGATATATAGATGATGATGTAAAGAAATTAATTTGAAGAGTAGATTATTCGCCAAATCATACTCTGTGTCATTTGTACAACCTTCATGATCATGTAGATTTCATAACGAAAGCAAACTTTTTTTGCAAAACTTTTTGTTTTATTCGCACGCGCGCATCAGTTTTGGGGTTCCCACAGGATGTCATCCATATAATCAAATCAACATGGCCTGGGGGGCTGCTAGACTTTTACCAAACACCACTTCCTGATACAATCACAGATGTCAATAGTAATAGTTCTACACACAACTTGTAAGGCCCCAAAACAGAGATGGGGGGCGCCACAGACTTTCTGCAACCTACTAGTATATGGTCCACCTACTCCACTGCTCACGGAGTCAGGTGTGTTATCTGCGTGACGTCATGGAAGCGGTGGATTGCTCATTCCTCGGCAATTGCAGTTCAAACTTGTTTCATAACTTGTAAGGATTGTTGAACATGAAAACCAACACCTAGATGGTTGTACATAAAATGTAAACCTCTGATGCACATGACAGCAGCTTCAAGAATTATTCTAGCTTCGAATCTAAGTAATAGATGCCTTACATGGCGACTTGGTGTAGTGGTACTCCTGAAGCCAGGCCTCCATACCAATCTCATCATAGTCCACCAGCAGGAAGATGATGTCTTTGGACCAATAACTAGATTCTATAAAGGAATTAAAATAAGAGATTTACTTCATTTTGTATAAAGCATAAATATTAATCATAAAATAAATAGAACAAATCCTTTATTCTGGTCAGAATTCAGCTCCAGGTTGATTGCTGCCTGGATTGACCCACTGCGACCATGCACAAGTATAAATTTTAATCATGAATAGAACAAAATTATCTCCACATAGACTGGTAGCAAAGGTAAAGCCATGCCTTTTTCAGGCCATAGGGGCAGTGGATTACTAGTTCACTGTCTCTAGAGCACTGTAAATGCAATATGGAAGGTGGAGCCCATCCCTCTCCTTCCACCACCTTTTATTTCTCTCTAACCAAAGTCACGAAGGTGGAAAGAGGAAAGCTGTATAAAGTGCCTTTGCCAAGGACACAAAGAAACGAACCCATGACTTCTTGATCTGGTGTCTGGTCACCTGAGCTAGTTGTCCATTTGATTCCACATGTGTGTGGATGGTGTTCAGCACCAAGGACAGGTGCCTGTGTCTGTGTGTGGATGGTGTTCAGCACCAAGGACAGGTGCCTGTGTCTGTGTGTGGATGGTGTTCAGCACCAAGGACAGGTGCCTGTGTCTGTGTGTGGAAGGTGTTCAGCAGGTGTATTGAAATTGCAACAGTGCAATACACGCGGAACAGAGGCAGCTGTTGCTGGTGTTGTGTCCCGCACATAGAAACGAATACTGGACAGACAATACTCATTTTCACTTGAGTCTAGTGGGGAAAGTCGTGTTAAGTGCCTTTCCCAAGAGCACAAGATCGGTGGCATGTCAGGACTCGAACCCGGGACCTCTTGATTCCGAGTCGTGCACGCTGCCGTTGCGCCACACGACCCCACGTGTGTTTGCCTGTGTGTGGATGGTGTTCAGCACCAAGGACATGTGTGCTTGCCTGCGTGTGGATTGAAGAATGAAACTTACTTCTGAAGTGAGCAGCCAGTGCGACCATGAGGCCGAAGGCATGGTTGTTGTGATCCATGGTCAGGTAATGTTTATAGGGGGCAGACAGGACTATGGCCTCCGTACTGGCCGCTCGTGGGGCACGGAGGATGCCGTACACATTGGTGCCGTTCAATGTCTGTATAGGCAGAAGTTTTTTGTTTGCAAACACAAATACAAGAATTTACACATTCTAAAGATTACTGATTAATAGTCAAGTAAAAAAACACACTAAAAGCTTAAACAAAGGCAAGTAATATAGAATACATTGCTAACATTCGGGAGAAATGGCAGACACTAGAAGTACATGTGTACTTTAAATCATGGTGAGTTACATACAGGCCAAAAGCTAGCAGTCCGAAAAAAAGGCTAGTGCTTTAGTGATAGCATTTAAAGGATAGCTTTGGCTGCACCTCAAACAGGGGTGCCAGAGTATACAGTGCAATTTTACAGAATACAGTGCAATTTTACGGAATACATGTGTACAGTGCAAGTTTACTAGTATACAGTGCCAGAGTATACAGTGCACTTTTACGGAATACAGTGCAGTTTTACGGAATACATGTGTACAGTGCAATTTTACTAGTATACAGTGCAATTTTACAGAGTACAGTACAATGGTATTAGTATACAGTGCAATTGAATTAGTAAACAATGCAATTTTACTAGTATACAGCGATTTTTTTAGTAAAATTGCACTGTATACTAATAGTAATACATATACGATTGCACTGTATTCCGTAAAATTGCACTGTATACTACTAGTAGTATACTAATATGATTGTAATGTATTCCGTAAAATTGCACTGTATTCCGTAAAATTGCACTGTATTTCGTAAAATTGCACTGTATACCCTGGCACCCCTGAAATTTGGACAGAAAGCAAGCATACAAATTGGGTGTGCAGCTCACCACAAACATGTCCTTGCCCAGCTCTGTAGACTTGCTGGCTGAAGGTACAGGGATAGTCTGGATGTACTCCTGTGTGTACGTGTCCAGGCCTAGGTCTCGCAGCTGGTTCACTACCCAGGCAACTGGCATAGGCCTGCAGACAGGGGCATCAGGGCTCGAAATTAACGGTGTCCCGATGGCCTGTGACCACTAAAATTTAAGCTGGGACAACTAAAAAGAGAATTTGGGACATTTTTGGGACAACAGTAAAATAGTCAACATCAGAATGTCAGCCCTTCTTTTGTTTGGCTCCAGAAAAAGCTACCCCAAATTTTACTCTACAAGTGTGGCGTCTGTATGGTGTAGTGGATAGAGCGTCCGACTGTCAAGCGAGAAGACCCAGGTTCAATCCCCAGGGTTGGACCCAGACATGTCCGGACATGCACCCAGACGTTGTGCCCTTGGGAAAGGCACTTAACACACATTTCCCCCCTCAGTTAGAGGGTTCCTGGGCCCTACTAGGGTTTGGGTTGGCGTTAGGAAGAGCATCCAGCCGTAAAAATCTTGCTTAAAAAAAAAGACTTGTACCTGGTGCAAGCACGTCTAACCCCCGGTTGGGGAAAAATGACGTTAAATTCGGTTTAAAAAAAAAAGTATAGCGCGCCTGGAAGTCAGAATGTAAGCAAAATAAAGCTTAATTCAAGTTCACTTCCGGGAAAGCAGGTTGGGACAGTTCATCCTCACTTCGGGACAATTGAAATTTATTTTTGGGACAGTGCTGGGACAATAGGAAGAAAAGTTAATTATGAGGCCTGAAACACTTTTGTCTCTCTGGCATCAGTCATATTGCAGGTTGACAGAATATATTTACCTGATCTCTTACAAGACCATAAACCAAATAGTAGATGAGTGAGTAAATGAATCAAATGAATGACCTAGCTTGTTCATTCGTATCAAACAATTCATACAGACCTTTCACAGTTTTGATATTAAAGGATAAAAAAAAACAAAAGTATTACAGTACATATACAATATTTATTATGCTCTTTTATAACATGTATGCCCTATATCAATGCATTTGAAAAATTTTTTGAGAAAGAAAATATATGGTCTTTCTTTCCTATTCTCACTTATTTGTGATGTTTCATACAGAATATAACCGACATCTGCCATATTTCAGCAATGAATAATTGATGAGTCCCTCGAAAAGAGCCTCTCATTAATTATTGATCAGCTCCCCCTACAAAATAAAAGCCATTGTACAAGTCAAATACACATAATACAAATTAAAATAGACATTAGTGTTCCCTTGTATAGGTATACTTTTATATACATTTGTACAAGTTACAACATAAGTTGCATTTTCATCATTAAAGGCATTGAATGCAATTTCATGGCAGCAAAACTGGAAATATTTTGAATAAGGCAATCTTTGTCATATTCACACATACTGCTTCACATTAGTACATTTGAGTCAGTATTTCATAGTCATACCTTGGGCTTTTACAACCTTAGAAACAAGCCCCAAGATGAGTCCTTTATTTTATGGGTGGTACCCCAAAAATCACCCAAGGGAACTTCCAGTAACCATTTGCTACCAGAATTTTGGGAATTTTTGCTCCATGAGGGTCGATATACATTGGGACAGTGTGGTTTCAACTCAGTATGGAGATAAACGACTAGAAATTCTAGTAGAATATTGACTGGGTTTCCAAGCCCTAAAAACTGCACTGGATGCCTGTAATGTGAAGACACCCACCCATCTCTGGTGACATTCTTGATCTCTTTCATAGCCTGGGAGATTCTGCTGGCCGTGTTCTCGGTCCGGAACTTGCCCTCCACCAGGCCTGGCAGCAGTGCGTTCTCCGAGAAGTAGGTCTTGTGGTTGAAGGGTTTGTAGGCTAATGCCAGGAACCACACAACACCGACCACGTAGGCTAGGAAACTTGATGAGAAAAACAAACAGATACAAGTGAGATGCCATGGACATAAAAAAATTTAATAAATTTATCCACCTATTTTCTGTCTTCAATTTGAAGTTCAATGCTCTGATCTTAATGAGGGCCTGCAAGGGGGGGGGGTAGTGATTACGAATTACGCAAAATTTTCGCCGCCTATTACGAATTACGTTAAAGTCTCAGAGCTGATTCCGGCTTTACGATTTGCGGCTAATGTCCAATTACGAATTACGTTGATTTTTGCGGAGGCTGCCTACGAATTACGAAGTCTAAAACGGCCTGATTACGCCTTACGAAAAAGGGCTTGCAGGCCCTCCATAATCATATATCTTGCAGCAGTATTAAGAGTTATAGGCATGTCAAATGAAATGATATGAATCATAATTGTTAGAAAAACACGATACAATATATATTTATATATTATTATCATTGAATTCAGAAATTATCATTGAATTCAGAAATATATCATGGTAACTTCAAGTCAACTGTTGCACATGCAACCCTTTTCCAAAAAAAAAGGATAGTTTTGTTTGTATCTTTGGGTTTATTTGCATTACTAGCATTCTATTCACAATAGAAAAATCAAGTGTCGACATGCTCTCATTTTTCTACTCTTGGCAATTATGATACATATTAAAGATAGCCTTGATAATCCATCTATCCACCATCATGAATAAATTAAGGAAGTCATGTTGGCCCAGCCCACCTGGGCGTAGCTTTCTGTGTTATTCTTACCATAACGGGCTGTTATATTTGGCCGCTATCCTGCTGAACCGCTCCCTGGACTTCGGATCTGACAGAAGCCCCATGGTCTCCTAATTACCAATGAGAAAAACCTCACAATTTATAGAAATTCAAATAAATGACAAGAAAACTTGCAACAAGCTTTGTTCACGCCGCCATGATAGTGACCTGCGCAGTGACCCTGTGCAGAAACCAAAATTTATCTTACCTCATTCGTAGGCAGTCTTTTACAGAAAGTCAAAATTACACAATCAGAGAAAGATAAAAACTGGACGTTACTCGCTTTCTTAGCAGAATTCTTACAATTCATACAAATAGATATTTGTTTTGGTGATCATTACCAAACCAAATGCTTAACTGTCCCAACAGGAGCCTTCTTTCTTGAACGATTACACAAGAGGTTACACAAGACCACCAGGGTACAAGGTAGATCACAGTACATCATGGCGGCCAACTTGTGTCGAGTGTCCGGCCGGAGCCTTCTAAAGGTCCAAAATGTGGTCACACCAGCGAAAGTAAGTCTCCTTTCACATTTTCCCGTGTCTTAAGATGTTAAGGATGACTTTGAAGGCCAAATAGACTGTGGGAAACGGTTAATCTGGACGTTTCAGGCACTTATTTCTCGGTGCCGGCTCACACTTTTTGGCAACCCGAGTCCGACATGTTGAACTAAAATTATGAAGGTCAAAGTAAAATTACTCTTTATTTCTTTTATTCCCTTCATCCTTACACTGCCATCGTTGGCATTAAAAGAATAAAAGAGATCTTAGAAACATTAAACAGTCCAAATTATACATATGGCATAGTTTTCAAGGCACTGATTCTCCTGTACTAGTATCAAACTACACAAATTAAGCTTGTGGAAAAACTTACAACTTATTTTTGGAACGTCGCCGTAGTGTTACGTATAATTTCTTAAAAGGACAAATTCGTTATGCAAACCCAAACTACGTATGCATACTAAATTTCAATTATAAGAGATGTTAACCTCATAATTTTACCCTAACACTAAGAAGAAGACAATAGTAACAGACATTTTGTATATCTCATATTCATAATCTATTTCATTTGATTAGAATTTCATAAACCGTTGCCCAAAGATGTATGTGCAATTGTGCATCATATAATTTTCAGTACATGTACAGAGTTTCTTGTTTTCTCCCTGCCCAGGCTAACATGTCGGCATTTGCCAAGATGTCAACAGGCAAGAAAGTGGTAAGTCCTGTCTTAAAATCAATTCTTTTGTAATCACCTATGATATATCCAATAAACAACATTAACAATCATGACAAAAATCATGACACAAACATGATTTTTTTCCCCTTTCTCCTTACTTATTCCTTGTAACAGATTGTAGATACATGTAGGTCTCTTTTTTCAGTGACAATTTCTAACATCAATAGATCATAAAAGTAAGTGCAGAGCACAAAATACTCCAAATCAATATAAAATATATAAATCTGAGCCTACATACGAACATCACTAGCCTGGGTACCATCCGGATTTTCGCTCTGCAACACTAAAAAAAAACATGCATTGATTTTTTTTAGCGTTGCTGAGCAAAAATCCAGATGGTACCCAGAGGCTAGAACATCACAGGCAAATGCAATAACATCAGGGTTCTAGCTAGCACAAAGTAGCATAGGGGCCCCCTACGCTATAATTTTGACCCCATGCGCTAAATTTCCCCCCCTACATATACAGCATAGGGGCATTGTGACTGTATTTCTTTGTTCGAGAATGCCAGATCAAATGTGAAAAATTACCAATCAAGGATACATTTGTACATACCTTAGAAATAACATTTTTTCCCTATGGGTATCCCTCAAATGGCCCCTTTTTTAGCTCAAATTTTTAAAAGCTCCACACCGCGGAAGGAGGGCCCATCGACAGGTGGCCAGTACCACTATGCTAAAATTACATCCTAGCAAGGAGGTTAAATACTTGTATTTAACCTCCTTGATCCTAGCTAGAACCCTGAACATTACAAGTTCTGAAGGATTTCTAACCCCTTGTATTGCTTGTTGTAGCTGATAGGGACCCTGGGAGCAGTAACAGCAGGAGGAGCAGGTTTACTGGGCGCCCTGCACTACTCCACCACGGTCCACGCTGGAGAACTGGAGCTGCACCCTCCCAAGTTCCCCTGGAGCCACAACGGCATGTTCAACGCACTGGACCATGCCAGGTAACCACTGGAGGAGGTGTACCATTGTTGGAAACCATCTGCAGGGCTCGAAATTCATTTTTGAGAAGGTGCACTGGTACACTCAACCTAAAATAATTGGGTGTACAAAATTTTGGGAATACACCATATAACTGTAAGTAGAATGTCAAGCAAAAACTGCTCATGCGTCATTTATAAAGAAAATTTAGTACTATAGTATTATTAGTGACTATGATTTTATTACTTTTCTGACACTTTTATTAGATGCTATACATTAACATCTTTACATACATGTATGTAAACCTACTAAAGTATTTGGGTGCACTGGTGCACAGTACATGTATTTTGAGCCCTGTTCTGTATCCAGAGACAGTGAATTACTGCACTATGTTTTAGTCTGTACCCATGTGTTTGTCACAGCATCTACTGTGACTGTACAATGTATGTGGTATGGTACACTACAGCTTTGTTTTCAGTTTTATCAGTAAAATTGCAGTGTTGCAGAGTGCTACAAAACTTTAAATCAACTCCCAATGTCATGGATGATTTTGTGCTCATTGCAAAGCTTCTGTTGCCATTCTAGTAATTTGCTTATAAAGGATGTCTTGTAAGTTGGATATAAATTTACCTGTTTTACAACACGATGTTTCAGTGTCCGCCGAGGTTACCAAGTGTACAAGGAAGTGTGCGCTGCCTGCCACTCCATGCAGTACCTGGCCTTCAGAAACCTGGTAGGGGTTTCCCACACAGAGGAGGAGGCCAAGGCACTCGCTGAGGAGGTAAACTCAAAGTCTATCCAGTAATAATGACACTCATCTCAATACAAAATCACAGTAATTGTAAAGAAGTAAATTTATAGTAGCATAGTCATATTCTTTAGGTGATCAGGGTAAGAAGATCCATAGATATGCTTTCAGCTAGAAGTCATGTATTTTTCAAATTGCATGTAAAATTTAATGTTTGCCAACATGCAATTTTATAGAAGTATTTCCAAATTGCACAACAAAATTTTTGACATTCTGCAATATTGCAAAACACATAAAAAAAAGTACTTCTAGTTCTACCACTGGGCTTTCTAAATTATGATAGCAGGTCTTCAAAATAACATTTTTGAGAACAGTGAGGTTTTACATGTTGATTCATTGAAAGAGAATACATGTACTTTCTTTCATCTTCATTTCTGTAATTCATACATTTTGTAAGTTCTTAGGTTATGAAGATATTTGACGTTACAGTCAGTTAAATGCCCCCCAACTTAGCCCAACCAATTTTACATAATATTTGGATTTTGGAATGGTGTCAGGAATTGTTTCGAATCACAATCCTGTTCCTCTACAGATCGAGGTGTTGGATGGTCCCGATGAGGAGGGGGAGATGTTCATGCGGCCAGGGAAGCTGTCCGACTACTTCCCACGACCCTACGCCAACGAGGAAGCCGCCAGAGCTGCAAACAACGGTAAACACACAAGCTCGTGTTGGCGTTAGTTACTAAAAGCAGGGCTCTAAATTTGTTTTTGGGAATAGATGCACTGGTGCATCCAACCTAAAAAACTGGATGCACAAAAAATGTTTTGGGTACACCATATAAAATAGAATAACTAGAATGTCATCAAAGTAACTAATTATGTTTCATTTCTAAAGAAAATCACGACAACAATTTTATTATTTTCCTGACACTTAGATGTTAAGAATAATCCTGTATACTTCTATACATGATTTTGACATCTTTACATACGGAAATATTTAGGTGCACTGGTGCACCCACAGAAAAAAATTGGGTGCACAGGTGAAGTTCATGAATCACAACTCAAAAAGAGTTTAACTCTCAAACTTTGGCAGAAAAATTGCTTATTTCTCTTTGTTTTTCAGTTATGTCTAAGTTTTATATTTGAATACATAGACAGGCTGTAGTAATGCGTTGTGTTATGTTTAGTTTGCCTAACAGGCTGGTTGTGTTTTCAGGGGCGTACCCACCAGACCTGAGCTACATTGTCCTGGCCAGACATGGAGGAGAGGTAGGCTTTCCTACATTATCTGTAGCAGTTGTTAACTTCAAAAGCATGTTGACACAGGTATAAGCATTGATTTTTGCACTATTGCACCCGTTTCTTCTCAATCGACAATGCATGGCACAATCGTCATTGAAAAATCATCATATGTATTTGCACAGGGGCTTAACAAAAGAAGATGTCCTTTGAAAGTTTTCTGTCTCATCTCACAACCACAGTTTCACCAGACTTTAAAATGAAACAGAAAATATTGTCCTTGTTGATATTACTACTAGTCGTGCTGTAGCCATCATTAAGCTGCAGGGCTCGAAATTTGCTTTTGGGAATAGGTGGACTGAAACCTAAAACATTGGGTGCACAAATTTTTTTTTGGGTGCACCATATAAGATAAAATAAGTAGAATGTCAGCAAAACTTAATTATGTTTCATTTCTAAAGAAAAGTACAATGTACTACAACATTTACAATGATTTTATTAGTTATCTGCACCCAGTATTTCAAGTCCTGAGCTGATATTGAAAAAAAAAGACTAATCTGTCGGGAGCAAGTTTAGAACACCATATTCTAGATCACCACTCACATTTGAAGATATACATTTCTAACTAGAAAGGCCAATATTTGCTTTGGAGCAAATACAGCGATGGGTTCACCACATTTTACGACATGGCAGGGAAAGAATGAGAAACACAAGGGAAAACAATGATTTACATTGATATAACTATAATATGAAGTAACATACAACTAAAACAACAGTTGGATAGCTATTCCCTACTTTATTGGTTAGGATTTATAATTGCATAATGCAAACTGTTGATTTTCAAAATAAAAAAAACGTTCATGCCCCGCATTCCAATGCTGGAGCAGAAAAGCTTGAAATACCTACCAAAACACTTGAATAAAGACATACTGTCAGTATGGAAATGCTCTGTGCAGGTGTTAATCAAGTTAAATCCCAACAGCCAATCAGCAAGAAATGCTCTGTACAGGTGGAAATGCTCTGTGCAGGTGTTAATCAAGTTAAATCCCAACAGCCAGTATAGAGGAAAGCTGCATGCCTATTGGTTGATGCCCTGCATTCCATTGTGATGACTCATGCCCAGACGTGGTAAACACGGCACACTAACACAGTAATACATTTGCTATAACACAGCCAAAAAACTCAAATAAAACCATTCTAAAAGCCTGTATCACAAAAATTTAAAAAAAGCCTAGGGGTATTTGCCCACTGTACCTCCATACCAAATTTCAGGACCTCGGGCCCTAAAATGAAGAAGCTGAATCCATTTAAAAAATGGCAGGAGGAGAAGGAGAAGAAGAAACATCAGAAAAAGCAATATGGGTTCACCACCACTTCGTGGTGTGGTGAACCCATAAATATGGTTGTTTCTCTCTCCCGTGGCAGGACTATGTGTTCTCCCTCCTGACTGGGTACTGTGACGCTCCTGCTGGGAAAGAGCTGAGGGAGGGACAGTACTACAACCCTTACTTCCCTGGACAGGCTATCTCCATGGCACAGGCACTGTACAACGAGATCATCGAGTATGAGGATGGTAAGGGTCGCTGTGGATGTAGTATTTGATTGGTCATGAAAGCATGACAGTTCAGGATATACTGTAATTTTGTCTTTACGAGAGCAAAATTTCACGGGCTGAGGAAAATGCATATGTTGACAGAAATTTATCTTTACAGTGGTGGCAAGAGGTGTTGAAAGACAAATGATATCATACAAGAACAGTGTAATGATAAGTTCACAGTACAGAAGTGACCAAAAAAATGTCAACATAAAAGTACTAAGAAGAAATTACAGTTAAGAAAGCAGCAAAATTGTGTAATTTTATCATTTAACAGGAAGCTACAGTGAATTTTTTTTTGCAACAGTGTCAATACCCTTTGACTCAAATATTTATGTCAATACATTTTCTTGCATTGGTTAGCAGATACTGTTTCTACAAGGTTGCCTCCACTGTATAGGCATTAATGTAGAAGTGTTGATATAGCTTGTTGTGAAAAGGGCCTTTAGAGTTAGACATGTATGTACAGAGCAGCTGAGTAAGGATGATCAGAAACAGATGTAAAACTGAAACTAAGCCATGGACTCTCCTCAGGCACCCCAGCTACTCAGAGCCAGTTGGCCAAGGATGTGTGCACCTTCCTACGGTGGGCAGCCGAACCCGAGCACGATCAACGCAAGAGAATGGGTCTCAAGGTAGGCTTCATCTTAAATACAGGCTTTCGTGATGATGATGCCATGGCATGTTTAGTGTTTCCGAAAACTACTCATTTTCTGTAGTGCCTGTAGGCCTTACCGGTAGCATTCAGTACCTGTAATCTCTCTGTCTTTCCAAATTTGGAGTAACCAATATTAGTGAATATTTATGATATTCATGTAAGCCATAATAAGAATAGTGGCTGAGTTTGGGGCTTGCACACACCTTGACTACAATATAGCAAGTCTTCCAAACTGCTCAAGCTCATTAGTAAGCTACAAGATCAGACAAATATTATACAGTACCAGTAGCTTCTATATCTTTATATGTTCCAGTGGTTGTGTAATTGTCTGACATCCATGTATCCCACTTCTACCAACCCTGTTCATGGCTCCATATCTCTTGTTCCAGGCTCTGATGATTGCCAGCATGCTCATCGCCTTCTTCTACTACCTCAAGCGCCACAAGTGGACGGTGCTGAAGAGCAGGAAGATAGCCTACAGGCCCCCACAATAACACATCTCAACTCCATTAGTGCACATTAAACGACCGCAGAGTCACACAGAGAATATATACATCTTTATCTGAGATGTTTGACCTTAGAACAATTAATCTTCGATACTTTATATAAAGGCAGTTGTTGCTTTAATGTAGTCTGTTTTACGTGTCAAAAACAATGTGAAGTGTTCCCAAAAATATTGCCCGTCAACAAAAAGTATTCTGCAACCCGTCTTTTGTAGTTAATATCAGCATGCACATGACTGAAAAGTTTTGTGAAAAAAAAACACAATTTGTCTATAATTTCTCATATTTGGCCTGAAAAAACTGTGAGGTTCTGGGAATAGCCATACTTCCGTAATACAGGTGTGAAAGAATTATCATTAAACATCCATCTTACCTGTTTTCATATTGCTGTGAGTGTGACTAATTTATTTATTTTGAATGTAATAGTAGTACATGTAGTGATAGAAGGTAGTACATGTACATGAGTGTGAAGGTGTGTGCGTGTGTGTGTGTGTGTACTAGTAGGTGTTTGTGCATACATGTATTTGGTGTGTTTGCATGCATTTGTATATATGTGGTGTGCATGTGTGTGTGTGCATATGTGTGTGTGTGTGTGTGTGTGTGTTGGGAAAAGATAGACTTATCACAAAACATCTAGATATGACTTCCAGCAGATCACTGTTGCTCTTCAAATCATCAATCAGATATTACCTGGGAGGGCGGTAGTACTCTAGACTGTCCCATTTTGACAGATGCTGGCAATTGTCCCTCCCTACATCTGCTTGACCCTATAAACCCCAACCAGCTTCTATCGTGTCAGCAGAGGCTGTCATGACCTAACCATCACGTCCATCCCCTCTTCAGTAAATGAACCGTCCCCTGTTTGGATTACTCGGCGCTGTTCCAGACGTACGTCTGAAGCCGTCCGGAAATCAAGGTCAAACCGTGCGGCCAAGGTCACGAGCTAGATGTAAAGATGGCGGCCAGCTGGGTGTCTCTCATGCTGGACTTTCTCAGCTCATCATTTTTCGAAATTTCGCCCTCGCAAATCCTCACAACGGTTTTCTGTACGGTTCTTCTCGGGGTTTTCTTGGGCCGCAAGAGGAAGAAAAACCTCCCGCCCTCACCGGCGGGGAGCTGGCCCGTTGTCGGCCACCTGCCGCTGATCGGGAGCCGCGCGCCGTACCAGAAGCTGACGGAATGGAGGAGTCGGTACGGGGACGTCTACAGCATCAGGATGGGGACGTCTGACGTGGTCGTGCTGAACGGTTACCGCGCCGTCAGGGAGGCATTGGTCGACAACAGGGAAGTTTTCGCCGACAGACCGGACAACTACATCGTAGACGGTATGTCCGGCTGGGGTCAAGGTGAGTTTCGTTTTCTGCACGTTATATGACTTTTAAAAGATTTTTTTCGGTGCAGAGCTAGGTTATTGAAGGCGAAACATTTGCAAAGACAGTATTCTTGCAAAGCAGTCATGGGAAAAGACGTTCTTTCTTCATTTATTTTATCTTATAAACACCTGGGTAGCCTTTACAACAGTAAAATTGTTGATTTCCTTTGCTTCTTATCTTACCCCAAGACTTTCGAATTCCATCCAGCGTTCATGCGAAGTCTTTCTCAAAAGCGAACACAAAAAAGAATGTTCAATAGCATTAGGCCACAGCAAGTAATTTTTATGCATGACATCAGCGCGCGTATTAATTTTCGCCTGATTTTGGAGAGAAAAAAAGAAATATTGTTGCCCTCTGACAGTGGTCAACATGCCGAAAATGGGCAAAGATGTCTGTTGCCATGCCGGAACGTGGATGGTAGATAACTATGAAGAGAGGAGACAAGAAAATGCTCTGATTTAATGTTTTGTTTCTTACTTTGATGCAGTGATATGCGATGCTGTGAGTCAAAATTTTAAAATGTAGGAACCTTGTTTTTTTTCGGCCTGCCTTGTTTTTTTCTCGCCCGCTCGCATTAGATTCAGTGAAGTCTGCGGAGGATGTCATCCATAAAATTGACTTGTTGTTGCCTTATGCACAATACTATATAAGGCCACAGCAAGTAAATCTTATGGATGACATCCTCCGCAGACTCCAAATCTAATGCGAGTGGGCGAAAAAAAAACAAGACGAGGCGAAAAAAACAAGGTTCCTACATTTTAAAATTTTGACTCAATCATTGATTCAGTGGGAACATCACATATACACAGCCAGCATCACATATCACTGCATCAAAGTGAAAAACAAAACATTAAATCAAAGCCTTTTCTTGTCTCCTCTCTTCATAGTTATGTGCCATCCACCTTCCGACATTGACATCTTTGCCCATTTTCGGTATGTTGACCACTATCAGAAGGAAACTAATTTTTTTTTCCAAATCAGGCGAAAATTAATGCGCGCGCTGATGTCGTCCATAAAAATTACTTGCTGTGGCCTAATACCATATACACTGAAATGTCATGACAAAAGTACGTGAGGACGAAAGTCTTCTTTGTGTTAATGTTGTCCCAATGTTTTGCTAGCCGTACTGAGGACGACGGCATTATTCGGTACGTGACCTAAATCCAGTACTGATGTTGGCAGCGCCCTTGGCCCAGAATCTAGGCGCTGCACGGCAGCCTTGTCCTGAGATGAACACAAACAAAGGCACAGACAGAGCTCGAGCAGTGCTTGTCTCAGGGGCGATCCGTTAAAAACTTTCAAGTATTGGGGGCCGGGAAAGTAGTGTGTGTGTGGTCTTTAGGCCACACCTCCTTAATTTTATGGATGACATCCACGCGCGCATTGATTTTCGCCTGTTCTAAAAAAAAAAAAAAAAAAAGATCACGTCCTCCGAGGCTCTGACCTGGCCTAGGTAGTCCATGGCAGTTAGCGACAATACTGGAGGATGGCACCCAGGCTACCGAAGCTCCACGACTCAAGAACTCAGTACATACGTACAGTGCCGATTCAGAAATTCCACAAAAAGCCAGCATGTGCCGGTTTGTCGTATACGTCGCTATGTACTGCCGCAAATTCACAGTACCAGCTTTGCACTCCTGTGGTTTAGTAGCATTTTTATTTTTGGCCGGAATTTTTTTTAAATTCGCTCGCGCGCACTAGTTTGTGGGTCTTCAGAGGATGTCATCCATAAAATTAAGGCGGTGTGATCTTTAGGTTGAAAAAAAACGGAAACAATGGGGAAAAGAGATTTATTTCCACGGAATGTCCAAATTTAAAACTGAGGTAATGGTTGAGCACAAATGGCATCAGGGAAATACGGAAATTTCATGCATTCTATCCGTCGTCAGATTCTCACTGCACTCGATCGGAGTCTAGAAGGGATTTCTAGTCGTTGTGTGTCATTTGTAATACAAAATGTACTTCCAAGGGTTGACACCGTGCACATACATGTACAGGGGCAGAATTTGCCTACGTCTCTTGTGCTTAAGTCACATTTCGAAATTAACCGGGGCTCAACCGGATTAATAATGACAAATATTAGCGTATATTCTAGGTATAACTTGTTAATTTTTCGTTAATCGAAACAGCCCGGCCGGGCCCCGGTTCGGAAATGTGGCCTCAGCATAACTAGGGGAATAAAGTTGAGTTGAGTTGAAATACGAGGTACACTCCTAGTGTCGTTCTCCTTTTTAACTTCGCATGATCAGACTGTTGATAGATGCTAACCATGTTGTGTGAGTTGCCTGATACAGACAAGTGCCTTTATATACCCTTTAAATACCCTTCTGTCTCTACTTTCTCTAAGGTATTGCCACCACCAAGTGGAGCCAGTCCTACCGGGAGAGGAGACGGTTCGCCACCGCCGCTCTGAAGTCTCTCGGAATGAAGGCGGGAAGCGACACGGTCGAGAAAAACGTCTTGGAAGAAGTGCACAGTCTTCGAGATCGGGTAAGACGTTTATGACGTAGTTTTACTTTATAAGAGAATGTTAATTTACAACGAGAAACCTGTAGTTACTGTGGTAATGTTGTGTTGCACCAAAATATAATGTCCAATGTCAACGTTCATCTTCAAACATATTGACAAAACATTTTGAACTTGCCTTGATTAAAAAGTCATCGTGTGCCGTGTGGGGTCGTGTGGGGGTAGCGACAGAGTGCTCGACTCCGAACCAAAAGGTCCCGGGTTCGAGTCCTGACATGCCACCGATCTTGTACCCTTGGGAAAGGCACTTTATACGACTTTCCCCACTTAACTCAAGTGAAAATGAGTATTGTCCTGTCCTGTATTTGTACTCTGTGTTGGTGGCGTCATAAAATAAGTTGATATAACTTGAGTGTGCCGTCGCCATGTTTGGTCATGAAATGTTGGAATATAAAAAAAGACATCGTGAATATATAAGTTTGATCCGAACCAGTTTTGCATGTTTAATAACTTTGTTTCTTTGTCCAATGATAACTGATGACAACATCCAAGGATGCCTTTCTAGTCCTTTATTACATCCGGGGGAGGAGACATCCTTACGCGGAAGGGCTTTGTGAGAGATTTAGATTTTCATGTTCGCAGCTGTTTCTCGCGTTTGGGTGGACGGATTCTTTTGAGACTCGGTATATGTTTTGCTATTTGGCTGCAGATGATGCACGTTCTTATTTTTGTTTTTATTGTATATGTGTTTTCGGGCGTGAAAATGGTGCCTTTCGGTGGCCCCAAAACACCCCTTTGAGCGTGAAAGTGGTCGCGACCGTTGACCTTTGGCGTGTTTAAGCTATTCTCGGTCTGGTCCACGTATATGACCGCTCACACAGAGGGGTGTCCGGTCTCCTTTGTTTAAAACCCTATATAAAAATATACAATAAAAAGTCCGGAGGTATAAAGTCTCAGATTTTACTTGTTTCGTTTCTTTCATCTCAGATATCGGAGACTAAGGGACGACCCATTTTTCTGTCGGAGGACCTGAGTATCGCCACAGCCAACGTCATAGCCTCGATGGTGTTCGGCAGGCGTTTTGAGTACGATGATTCGTACATCCGCGGCCTGACGGACGCCCTGTTGCTAGCCTACATCAAGATCGGGGACAGCCAGGCTATCAACCTGTTCCCCCTGCTACGGTTCGTGCCAATCGGTGAGGAGGTTTTTTTTCTATTCTTAGGCCATGTTGATTTGATTATAAGGATGGCATCCGCGCGCGCATGAATTTTCGGCCGTTTCAAAAAAAGTTTTCAACCATACTGTAAATTTGTGTAAATCATACAAAACAGTTGCAAACTAAGCAAAAAAAATATTGGAAAACGATAGCAATGTTGTAGAATGCCAAAATCAAACGAAAAAGACGAAAATGTAAAGAAATTAATCTGAGGACTAGATCATTCGCTATACCATACTCTGTGTCATTTGTTCAACCTTCATGACCGCGTAGATTTCATAATGAAAGCAACTTTTTTTTTGCACATTTTTTTATTCGCACGCTCGCATCAGTTTTGGGGTTCCCAGAGGATGTCATCCGTATAATCAAATCAACATGGCCTAACCAGACGAACTTTTTATCGACATTGCAGTTACTAGATCACAGGTAAATTTCACGTCAATATTTCCAGTGGTAAAGAGAAAGTCTTGTCGTAGCTTTTGCTATAAGCATATGACCGTATAATGTCATGTACAGTGAACAGGGCAGGGTGGGAAGCACTCGACTGCGGCAGGAAGGTGGACGACTTCATCCGGGAGGAGATACAGCGGCATCGCGAAACCGCGCCCTCTAGCGGCGAGCCCAGGGACTTCATCGACCTGTGTCTACTGGAGATCGACAAGGACAAGGTGGATGTGACGTCAGGGGCGGGACTTACCGAGGAACACATGGTCTTCATGGTGCACGACCTTTTCTTCGCGGGGATTGAGACCATCCATTCCACCTTGCTCTGGGGCTTTCTGTACTTGGCGACGCACCAGGACATCCAGGAGAAGGTAGCGTAGAAGTAATCTCCAAGCAGATCCTAGAGTGATATAAGACAGTAAATTGGCCAGGCAGTATCCATTGGGTCCAATACGCCACCCAAGTTGGAGATTAGCGTAGAAGTAGAACAGACCGACGATGCATGTTCGTTTAAAATGAGGAGAGAATGCAAAACACGAGTCAAGTTACGACAGAAAACGCAAGTAAAAATTCACACATATACAGATCTAGCATGTACTAGTATTATATACGTCTTGCGCAATTGCATGATCCAGCCACTTGGCCATTGTATTTTCACCATGTGTGCTTCGAAATTCGAATGCAACCACAGTTGGCGGCCTTCTTAGCTTAAAGGTAGTAAAAGCTTGCGCACAAACCATTCATTATGCTAAAACTAATCTAGATTAATATTGTCAAGTCAACCCCGGCGAAATTAGTACCACGTATGTTGGTAGAATCATAGTCTCTCATATCATTGTATTTTCTTTTTCATACATGTTGTTTGTACCTGCAGCTAGCCCTCGGGCATGTATTTGCAATAAACTTTCAACTAGAGAAGTAACATTTGCAAAGCAGATGTATAATGTTTACCTTCGGACATCGATGGTCTGCTCTGTTAATTCTTAATCAAACATATTCACATATATGTACAACTAGTATATGGACAGGAGCAGAGCAGGCCATGAAATTGCAACATCATGTCACCCAACACCAGTCACCATGGTGACAGACGTCAACAAATCATGTCATTGGTCAGGTCAGAGGTCACTGTTTGGAGAAGAAGAAGAAGAAGAGGAAGAAACTGAGCAAAAACAATATGTTTTCCTTCGGTAAACATAACTACACAGTACGTCGATGAAGGTTAGAGATCCAGGTAATACGATAAATCGATACGCCAAAAAGCAGTTACTCAAGCAACTTTCAAAATCATATCCAGTTGCTTGAGTAACTGCTTTTTGGCGTACAACTACAGCAATTCTATTAATTAGGTCCAAGCTGAGCTCGACAGTGTGATGGGACAAGACCCCTCCTCCGACCTGACGCTGGCCCATCGTCCCCAGCTGCCTTACACCGAGGCTACCCTGATGGAGGTGCAGCGTATCCGCTATGTCGTCCCGCTCAGCATCCCACACGCCACCGCCGCTGACGTAACCTTCCGCGGCTACCAGCTACCGGCAGGGACTACGGTATATTATAGTAGTATATGCGTCGTTTATAACTACAGTATGTACAAACGGTTTAGTATATACGTCGTTTATAACTATTAGTATAGTACAATTAAACTGCAAATCGAACACTCTAAATGAGAGGACTAGCCCAGATTTTCGGCTATTCTTCTACAACTTCCTCAATTGTAGAATGGTAGCCTCCTCAGGCTCCGGGGGGGGGGGGTTGATACAGCGTTTTGTATAGTTCCGTGGGCGGATGGAAATCTTCTCTCGTGGCCGGTTGTAGGATGGCCGGCAATTAAAAGAACGCGTTAAAAAAACTCTACAAAACGTATTATCAAAACTCCCACCCGCCCGGAGCCTGCACAGGAGGCTAGTAGAATGGCCTGCTACTGGGAAACATTTAAAAACGCGAACTTCTTTGCAATTAATGCCAATGCCAATGTTGGATGTACAACGATGTTTTCATACTGCTGAAGTTAAGTTGACGTCTTTGTCCAGGTTATTGCCAACCTGTGGTCAATCCACATGGATCCGGAATACTGGCCGGATCCGGAACGATTCGACCCGGAAAGGTTCCTAGATGTGGAGGGAGAGGTCATCAACAATCCGGATTCATTCTTACCCTTCTCTGCTGGTAAGAAACAGCAAGCATTACGTCCCGGCATCGTTACTACTAAAACAAACGCATACTAAAACAAAAACATTTAGAAGAAAATTTGAAGATATTTTGCCGTAATTTTTCACATGTGTATTCCTCCCCCATGTTTCAGGTCGCCGCGTCTGCCTTGGCGGACTACTGGCAAAGATGGAGCTCTTCCTCGTATTCGCGTCATTGCTGCGGCACTTCACCTTTCAGCTGCCAGAGGGCGCTGCAGTGCCGTCCACGTTGGGGTGCTTTGGCATCACCATGTCTCCTCGTCCCTTCCAGCTGTGCGTCCGCTCACGCTGACATGTTTCCAACCATCACGCCTTGTCATGCTGTATACTGCACACTTGTCGACTTTCTGCTTGGCAACTAATGCGGTTGACATTATTCACTTCTGCCCTACTGTATTTTGGGTGCTGTTGGTGTGTGTGTGATTTGAATATTTGAAAGAAGTCACAACAAATGAAGTCACAACAATTCTGGAGCCTATGAAAAATGTTATATACTGTAACCTTAATTAACTGTTACACGATGAAATTGTAACTTAAGTTTTAACAGAACATCCTTTTTCAGATATCATGTACTGATATATGTAAGTTATCACAACTATACATGTAAACTTATATGTTGCTATAGCTTGTACTAGTAGTTAATGACCTGTTGTACAATGTTGGTGAAAGAGCCTTTAGAAAGTATGCAACCAAAAGCAATTCCACGATTGCACTTAAAAACTTACCTAATGACAATACCTAATGACGATATCAATTTCACAATACAGTAATTTCAAAAAAACATGCAGTTTATTACAATATGTCAATATTCAATTACAAAACATATTAGTTTTCCCATTTGGCAAGATATTATATTTACTTAACACAACTACATGTGAAGATTGTTTGTTATATAAAATATTGTCACAGCATAAGAATATTGTTCTTTTAAAAAACCAAACCACAAGTGCAGGTGCATTGTGCTGACACCATACCAATGCATGGTGCATAAATACAGGCAGCAACCATTTGGCAACACTAATTTAGTTACTGTAGATAGTTTTGAAACCTAAACAAAGAAACATCAATTGCAAAAGAAGAAATAACCTATAGCTATCACAGTGGTCAATAACACTAAAACATCCATGTGCATAAAAATGAAGAGCCTGTCACTAACATAGAGTAACTGTCAAATAATTAATAAATATGTTTTCTCAATCTCATTTCATTTTAAAAAAGTGTACCTTATCTTATCTGTAAATTCATAGCAAAACATAGCCCTATTGTACACTACCAGTGGTTTAAATTTGACCCTTAGGCCACACCAATTTAATTTCTTGGTTACCGGATTTTTGTAGACAAATAATGGAGCGGGCGGGCGAAAAAAATGAAAATAAAAACAGGCATAGGCTTCCTATTATGGCCCAAAATGATACGATAGGAGCCATGAAGTCAACACACCAGGCTGTCTCAAAATTTAAACAATGAATTTAGAACTTTTAATGATACCACTGCATTGAAAGATGGAATAACTGTAACAACTAGGAAGGAAAGGACTGTCTTCAACTGTTCAGGGCAAAATATGAACATTTTGCAGTTGATTCTGAATTTTTTGGCAAATCAGACAAAATGAAGCAGGCAAATCTGTTAACCAAGAAATTAAATTGGTGTGGCCTTATGTGAATTTGGCAGTGCAACTTCAAGAAATGAGAAATGATGTGACTACAGATGGAGACTTTAGAAGTAGTCGAAGTAACTTAGTGCCACTTAAAAACTATCTAGCATTCCTCTGTCAATTCACAATGTATAAAAAGTACTAGGTAGTCTTGTATTTAACTGCCCTCAGCATTCAAATTGCAATAGTGATAATATGAATAGCTCTTTTTGTATATTAGGACTGCCCTTTGAACTTTTCTGCAAACTGATTGTAGAAAATACAATCAGTCTATTTGAGTATTTTGACATTGCACATTGTCATCATCATCATCACTGAGACTATTCAAAACATACTGGCTTCGAGTTACTAGTAGTTTTTTCCATGAATAAATTACTGCAAGTTTCATGTGAACACAGCCTATTTCGGGCAGCTGCTGCCCTGCTAGGTCACTAATAAGACCTAAAAATGTGTTATCCTTTGACTACAAAACTGGATAACTCTTGTAAGAAAAAATTGTCCTAGTTACAAAATGTAGATATAGAAAAATTTGAACTGTGTCCTAGTCCTAAGGTGTGCCACACATCATCCAAGTACATTATCCTAAGAATAGTGAATACAATGTACTTGTCTTCAAACCAAGACATGCAATATTGTGCTTCTTTACGCATCACTTCACATCAGGAAGAATAGAGGTGCCAGTATACATGTATATAGCAGTCAAACAGGCAGTGATACAGCAAAATTTTCAATAACTTTGGGTCAGATTTGTTTCATGCAAATCATCACATATCATCAATCTAAACAGATGCATTTCACTTCTATTTACAATTTATCAATTATAAAAACTCTATGTTATCTAACCCTTACTCTATTTGCAGCATTGAATCTCTACATGTCGTTTTTTGCGGCGACGGAGTGCCAGTTCCGCTGTCCGCTGTGGGAGGAGTTGTAGTGAGTGCGCATCAGTCTCCACTCGTCGGTGATGTAGTTACACAGATCGCACACAAACCCGCCGTGGGCGTCGTGCAGCCTCATGTGCAGCTCTACGGTCTTGCTGTACAGGTGACAGCCGCAGATGGGACAGTCGTGCGCCCCCGCCACGGACTGACGCTTCTTCGGTGGGAGCAATCGTGGGCTGCTGTCAATCAGAGAATCACGTCGACTGGGCTGGCTGACGTCTGTTGTATTACTCTCCTCGCCTTTACCAGTGGGGAGCGAGGATGGGAGGTCCACTTCCATGACGTTTGTGACGGTCGAGTGCGCTTCTTTCACGTGTTGTTGCAGCTGATTTCCGGGCACCTCCTGTCCGCAGATGGAACACACGGCGCTGGTCTTCTCCCTGCAGTTCATCACGTGTGCCCGGAGAAGCTCGACGGTCGTGGCGAGGAAACCGCATTCCGGGCAGAGCAGTTTTTCCTTGTGGACGTTCCGGATGTGCGTCCTCATCTCACGCCACGATGTCGTGGTGAACTCGCACTTGTCGCAGCTGAAGCCGCCCTTGTCGTTGTGAAGCAGCATGTGGCGCTCGACGCTCTTATCCGAGACTTGCTCGCCGCAAATCCCACAGTGTCCCACACTGCCTTGTTGATCCTCCTCCTCAAAGACATCGCTGTCCAGTTCTTGTTCATCCCCCGACAGCACCATAACTTCATCACGTTGATCGGAGCCCGTACCGTGAGATGACAGGCCGTTGTTACCCATCCCTTCCCTCTGCAATGTTGTTTCTCTAGGATTGTTCTTGTTGTTGTCCGCTGAGCAGCCGACCGTACCCTGTGGCCACCTCACATGCGGCATTTTCATGTGTTTGGTGAGCATGTTGCGGTGCATGCACATCCCACAGAGCGGACACTGGACCTGTAGTCTTTCTTCTCCGGCATTTATGGTCATGAGTCCCTGGTTGACCTGAAGTGACACGTTGGAAGGATTTTGCGACCACTGTGGGTGAGGTTCGTCCAGGTGTTTTCTCAGATTGGCAGAAGGAATCTTCTTGCTACAGAGAGGGCACTCCAATCTCTGCAGCTGCTGCAGCATTTGGACCTCCCTGTGAGCTCGGGCTTGGTGTGACAGGTGCTGCGAACGCTCCCTTGGGCCACTGTACATGTGGCATGTCCAGGTGCTTCCTCAGCATCCTCTGGTGCACCTTGATCTGACACAAAGGGCACTGAACAAAGGGGCTGGACTCTTTGTCCTCACCTTTACTTGGTGAAGAGGTGGCTTTGTCTGTGGAGAGAACATGTTCGCTGTCCATGTGAGCTATCAGAGCAGAAGGCTGCAGCTTTACTCCACACAGTGGACATACTAAATGATCACTTTGAGTTGGACATTCTTTCATTTTCCGGCCGTTGGCTTTTCCTGAAGTGCACCTGCATCTTGGCTTGGCCCAGCTGCTGTAGGGGCAGTATGGGCACCTGTACTTCTTCCTGACTCGGTCGTGCCAGTCCACGTGCTTCACGATCTCCCTCCAGCTGTCGGTGCTGTAGTCGCACCTGGGGCAGGAGAATCCACCCTCGTCGTTGTGCAGCTGCATGTGTCTCTGCACCGACTTCCTGTACAGCCTGACACCGCACACGCAGCAGTGTCCCGACGGCGTCAGCTTGTCCTTGTACTTCTCAAAGTCATCCGCCTCCAAGTCCTGAGACTCGTCGTCCTCCATGCTCACATCTCCGAGGCTTTCCTCACCTTCCTCCGGCGCCCTCCCATCTCCCTCCGACTCCCTGTCGCTCAGCATACAAGAGCCACTTTTAAAATGCTCTACTAATGTCGTCTCTGATGATGTTTCAAACTCACAATTCGCACAACTGTATGTACTGTCATGTTTGGAGGCAAGGTGTGCTTCAATGTCTTCCCAAGTAGCTGTAGAAAAGTCGCATTGATCACACTTGAACCCCCCTGCTGAATCATGAAGCTCTTTGTGTCTCTGCAATGAAGGACTCTTCAACTCTAAATTGCACACTGAGCATGTTTCAGTATCTTCTGTATTGTCTACAGCCCTTTCTTCCACATTTATATCTGTGTTTGGTTCTTTCTGTGTGCCATTCTTTTCTTCAGCACTACCCTGAACCTGTTCTGATGTTGTTTTAGAGTTAGACGCCAGTCCTGTCTGATGTCCTTTACACTCATGTTTATCTAAAAATGACTCTGACAATGTCTCAAAGTTGCATGACTGGCATTTCAGTTTGTGATTTTCCTTGAGGTGATCTTTAATCTCAGGCCAAGACTCTGTTTTGAATTCACACTTATCACAGGAGAATCCTCCTTCACGATTGTGCAGTTCACTGTGTGTTATGACATCCTCTCCCTGAAGCTGTTCCCCACATTCTGCACAGATTTCAAACTCCTCATCTTCTGCAGTTTCTTGGCCTTCCGAGATGCCGTCCTGGGCTTTGTCCTCTTCCTCAACATCTTGACGATGACTGACATTCATGCTGCTGTCACTGTCATGTCCTGCACCACTCGAGTTCGCTCTTTCCTTGTTTCCATCTCCATCCTCGTCAGCCACACACACCTCCATGTGCTCTGAAAACACCTCCGTGGACCAAGTCTCAAAGTCGCAGTTCTGGCACCTGTGCTTGGGCTTGTGTTTCCTCTGCATGTGCGACCGCATCTCGTGCCACTGATCCGTCTCAAAGTCACAACCATCGCAGGAGAACCCGCCTCGATCGTTGTGCAGGTCCATATGCCTGTCCACAGTTTTCCGGTACAGGCGTGCATTGCAAATGGGACACACTATGGACACTGTCTTCTTCAGTTTGATGCCCGATGAAGTCTGCCCAGTCCCCTTAGCTCCTTCCTCCTCCCCAATCCTGTTACTTCCTTCCGAGTCTCCCCAAGTCGGATCGAGCCTGTCTGCATCTTCCTCTACTTCAGACAATGGCTCTTCCTTGACTGTCATGGTGCCGTCTCCAAAGGAGTTTGTTAGAGATGCAGTGGAAGACAGAGCACCTCTCACTAACCGTCCAGAAGATGCAACAGGAGAACTTGAGTGTCCCCTCCTCTGGGCTGCGGCAGGAACTGAAACCTGAGAGAATTGTTCAAAAGACGGTGTTACGTACGACACTTCATCTCTCGGTCTTCCATCATGTGACAGTTGCACGGGCGGCACGGACCATCGGACGGGTAAGTTGTTGCCAATCGAGACAGCCGACATGCCTTGAAGCCCGTCCTTCTGAAGCATCAGATGACGCGACCGTAGCGCCTCTGACAGCGTGGAAACGCCGCTGTTCCCTGGCTGCCTGGTGGTAAAGCTGTTCATCGCCGGGAAACAGTTCACAGGGCTGTGTCCAAGCATCGTCTGTTGGTGCTCCGTCTTGATGTGGACAATCACGTCCGCCTTGCCAGTAGAGACAGCAAAGTGGCACAGCCTGCACTTGTACAGGCACAGCACCTCGATGAGGTCATCGAAGCTGTTCCCCGACAAGGCCGAGGTCAAGTGCATCTCCATATTTGGGAGCAGGAGTTCTGTTGGGGCAGATGAGAAGAAGAAACTGACAGCTCACTTTGAAGGAAGGGCAGTACTTTCTCCTCTCTCCATACTGGCAGCTATACCTGAAATGGTCAAAAGCAACCGTCTTAATTAAGAAAAGGCTATGTGGTTAATGTTGATTCTGTCTAGTTTGAGATTAATGTTTTTTCACACATGTTCCTTGAAATAGCAAGGTGGACTTGTGCAAGTTACCTGGCTCTAGATAAATGGCTAGGAATCAGAAAAATCCACAAATTTATAAATAAAATTTAATATGGGCTTGGAACATTGTCCATGTTACAAGATTGATTTCATATGGCATGTGCTACAGGGTGACAGAGAATGGCTAAAATGGCTTTTGGCGAGGAGTAGTAGTAATATTAGCCTCCGTAGCAGGCTTATAGAACTGGAGGTTTGGTGGTCTTCGGCTGTTTTCTGATTAGCCCATTTCTAAATGGGGGTAATTCAACCAGGCCGGCTATGTTGTCTATATGCAATCAGAAAATAGCACATAAAAGCTCAAAAAAGACCGTGAAGACCCCCCAAACCCCCAGTTTTTGGCATGCTATGGAGGCTATAGTAATATTGTTATAGTAACATTACAAAATTACATTACACTAATGGTATTTCTGAACAAAGAAACAGCAGTGCAAAGTATGGACAAGTTTCACAAGATAGCTAGTTAAAAAGACTCCAGAATTTCTGACACACCTTCAAAATCCTGCCCACCCTAAACCTCCAAAAAGAAAAATAATACCGTAGGGACAACTTCACGTGGACGCGAAACAGGTTATCGCTTTGACGCGGCCCAGTCAAAACAAAACAAAGGCAACGCCCCTCTACGCTACACGACCAGTGACGCTGCGACAACAATCGCGTTTTAGACCTTGTAGAACTTGCACCGAACTACAAAATATTTTAACATTCACAAAACCAGTCTACTGTCTGAAATCAAGAAATCTAAATAATTTACGCCAAAAAATAATAATAATTCTCCTAAAATAACTTCGTCCGTTTAGCCTGCTGATTAAAAAAATTAAAGCATAGAATGCAGTTTTTGTGTGTGTGTGTCATGCGGGATATTGAATTAAAGGCCGAAGAGAAAAAAAGCTTCGCACCAGAATCACCCAGACGGTAGCCCCGCGGCACACACAGGCCGAAAAAAGCCCGGAATTTTTCAGGGGGCCCTGCGCAGGGCAATCGCCGCAAAAAATAACAGCAAAATTTTTCACGGTCCGCTTTCCCTCCTCTAGTTTACGTACATCCCGCACGACAACTAGGACTTTGAGCATGTTGTGTGGATTTTTCTGGAGTGAGAATTTTAGGGAGTTAGCGGGGAAAGGTTTGTTTGTTATTGTGGGGTCGTGCAGGAAAATCGAGCCTGGCGCCGGGTCAAAAATAAATCGCAGACCCCGAGCGTGCATAATAAATTTCCCCCTGCAAAAATAAACTCGTCCCATTGCTTTCCACAGAAAAACAATCACTATTCATTACGACAAAAGCTAGAATTTATGCCTGTTGTTGGTTTAAAATTACGCACTGCCCAAACAACTCACCTGCGATTCTGGAAAAGCGAAATTATTGGAGAAATTTTTGGTTGAAATTTTCCTGTCGGTCCCAGGGAGCCGGGCCTCGATCTGGATTGACACTTGGACTGTTCTATTTAGGACTGTGCGTGGGGAGGGGAGGGAAAGATAAAATCTTTTGACTCGCCTTTTGGCACAATGTCATATATATATATATTAAAAGAAATATATGATTGTGTCATGTGTGGGGAAACGTTGTGAAGCACAGCCAACATGTCGGTCCTGGTATCTAAACATACATATCAAATAAACCACCCGGAATACAAATAAATATGAAATGCCTTTCTTGTCCCTTTCAAAGAGCAGGTATAAAAGATAAGATATACGATATAGAAAGGAAAAATTAAATCAAAAGCAATCCAGGTAAAAACTATATGTCTATGAAGCGAGAAAATCCAACATTGGTTTATGATTCTTTCAAATCTATATATCACAAGTTCGCGATGTATTCATACTTGCTTTTTTATTCTTATAAAAATGATTTCTAAGCGTCCCACCCCCATAAAAAATGGCACGATGGTACGAACCGGCTTTTTTACGGCGTTGGATGTAAAACACTGTCGGTAGTAACTGTTGTCGGTAGTAAAAGACGTGCCTATCTTTAGCCGCCACAGCGGGGCCTACGGTTGGAATTTTAACACTGTGATGTTTGTTTTATTCCGAGGGTTCCAGTTTTGTTCTGCTTTTATTTCTCTCTTTCCTTTTATTTCTTTGTCCAAATCTTTGTTGAAAATTTACAGAAAAATCACACGTCAATTTAAGTCAAAAGAGCATGCACCCCTGTTTATTTTTGTCAAATCTTTTACAGCATCGTCTAGTGCGTATTTTCATCCCACCCGCCCTAATATATTTCTTGGTCCATCCCTTATCTTGTAATTAAAAACATACACATTGTAGTCTCCAAGTAGATGTCAGGATGGAAAAGTGTAACAGTTTTACCTTGATACCTTGATAGTTTTCTGTCTACCATTGCTAGCCTGGAGTCCAGCCTTGTTAGCTTCAATCCGCTTACCAAGATCCGCTACTTGTGAAGCGGACCAAAACAAACAAGGCAGGACTACTCTTGGCTTTTCTAATCGTAAAATAGGAAGCGCTCCATCTCCAAAGTGTATATAAAATGGAATAGCCCCTGAAAGGTCAGCACCTGTTGTCTGGAAATGGCGTGGCCCCGTTTCTGTGCCAGCGTCTCGCTTGCATTCTAATTAGGGACCAACCAAAGACAGTAGGAGGGAGGTTTGCATCCTCCATGACTGCAACTTATGCCTTCTCTTATAGCCTCTACCAGGCTTCGGGAGGCAGCTAAAAAGAGAGTTCAGGTCCGCTGGAAAGTACAGTTTGCGCTCCCGAAGCCTGTCGGGGGTGGAGCGGCAAACTGTACTTTCTGAGCGGACCTGAACGCCCTTGTTGGCATGTTATCTCTCTCTATTTGGCCGATTTCTACTCTTTTCAGCTACCTCCCGAAGCCTGGTAGAGGCTATTCTCCTCGGTCACTCCTCAAAATATGCCCTTTCTACAAGAGAGGTAGCCTGGGTGTCATCCTCCGTAGTTTCCGCCGTAGGGGATGTCGCGAGTAGAGGCGTTGGTCACCACAGGCGGGTCACGAGAGGCGGTCACCAGAGGCGGACTGTACCATTTCATCATTAATACATTCATCTACTTACATCAAACAATCGACAAACTTTCAGAATGAAATCTAACGTTACCATAATAATGAGGAATTGCAACATAAGACAGCATTTCTCTTCGACATACCATGAATAGAAGGGTATCGCATACCGTTCAAGGTACATTTATTCAGCACAATGGATAAAACAAACAAGTCGGTTGATGGGCCCTGATGTATATGGCCCATCAACTTTCATTGAACCGCGACGGGGGCCGACATCGTCTACCAGATACATTTGACCCAGTGTTGACGTCACACTTCAAAGAAGCCACGTGACAAGCTTCACTGGGTCAGTCTACTGCGGAAGACCAGAGTGACTGGTTGAAAGCTCTAGGTGAGAGATTTCTTTGTGTTGGATCAAAAGTTTTAACTTTAAACATGTAGCTACCAACACAGATGAACTTTCATGATAACATTGTCCAACAATCCACATACCAAGGAGGTGTGTATTTCTATAAGTGTGTCTGTGTCTGAAAAGAACAACTCAGGTGTTACATTGTACACTGAACTGGCTTTGGGTTGGGCTTCTTAACTACGAATGAATAAAGATTTTATTCGTTGATTCAATCCCATCTATATAACCTCTGGTTGGTCAAATGTTGTACACAGCCGGTGGGTGCATTTGCATATCGAACAGGTGGAACACAGGTGCGAAAATTTTGGATGAAACCATTGTTCCATTTAAATGGGGGACGAGATTCCTTATTACTTTTTTGTACCAAAGAATAATCATAGGGTTGCCATAAAACATATGTGTGTACCAAAGAATGCAAATTGCAAAGTTGCAGGAAAGTGACCCTAACGTCCCTTGCATAGTCTGGGCGATTAAAACGAACTTCATTTTTTAGTGAAACGTAAGCACTTACCTGTAGAAAGAAATAGGGCAGTCCAAAATCAGCTCCGTTGGTGAGCAGCAGCCAAGCGTTAGTACAAGCCAGGACGTCTTCAAGGTAAGCGTGGAGGTTAGTGGGTCTCTTATTCTCCCCTCATGGCAGCGCAAAAAGGCCCCTACGTTTTATAACACTAACTCGTGCGCTTTCATATAAACATGTAATTCGTGCGTTGTTGTATAAGTGTAATTCGTGGATTCCTGAGATTTTGAGGCCCGAAACACGTTGTCAGCTTGCGCTCAAGCTGGCGGTGCGAACTCGGAGACCCGGGCGCTGTATAGTATTAACTCGTGCGCTTTCATGTACATACATGTAATTCCTGCGCTAACGTTCGTAATTCGTAAGTTCTTTGAGACTCTAAGCGTGGCGTAGCGTGCACGTTGCGCGAAAGCTTGTCGCGCAAAAGACCTTGTTTCTTGATTTGTTGTATGACTATGTGTTGAAGATACGTCAGGAATTTTGTGAGTGCTACACAAAATTCCTCGCATGATATTGTCACGGTTCAGTCTAGGTTTAGTGGTGTTATTTCACATGGCTTGGTTATTTTGTATTAATTTGTAAGTTAATATTGTGATAATTCTATTGCTGTGGTTTATTCTTATGTTGCTTGCAGCGCGCGGATGTGAATGTTTTTCAGAAAGGTTCACATCAATATCTTTTCGTTGCTAAGTCAGTTTACTGGCTTAGCAACGAAAAGGGGCATCTCGCGACGTTGTTATAGTTGTAAAGCGTGCGTGGTATAGATGTAAACGTTGTATAGTTTTAACCCGTGCGTTTTATAAAAGTAATTCGCGAGGACCCAAATATCAGATGCCTACATGCAGCGCGGCGCGGTTTGAACACAACAAAAATCATACACAGCATCTAATGGTGTCGTTCTTTCTGCAACCACTTGCACACACGTACACAAACACTATTGAATTCATTGTATTCCTTATGCTCTTAGCATGGGAGCCATCTTAGTAAGATCGCTCCCATGCTCTTGGGCTCTTTATGGTAGTCATGATAACCCATGTGAATTAACACCACTAAAATCCATAGAATTCATAAGACCTGCTCTTATAGAATTCTATGGATTATTATTAGAATAGAGCATTTTATCTTAGTTTCTATTACAGTGTACTAACGATTTTTCTTCCTCATGAAAAAATGGGGGGGTCTGTCCCCGCTTGTGTAGTTCTTATGGGGTTAGGTCCCACTCATGCCTTTTGCTTTTATATTGCCCCATTTGGGAAAGGTGGGTAGTTTGGGTGATACGTGTTACTATTAGTTCGTGCAACTAATGGATATCCCAATAAAGTATCAAGTTTGTAAATAATGTATATCTAATACCAAATGACCTAGAAAAACGAGATTAAAATCCATTCTTAAAATGATTACTAAAACTTAGTTCAGTAAGATAATTCTTTCAATCAGTGACTATTAATCCTAAGGTACATACCTCCGAATTTTCGACGACTAGTCAGTTCGTCTTGGTCACGGAATAATCCTAGTCTCGAAAATTCGGAGGTATGTACCTTAGGATTAATAGTCACTGATTGAAAGAATTATCTTACTGAACTTATACTATACGTGACTGATGAATCTCTTCAACGATAAAACTTAGTTAATTTCAACGGTTAGGCTCGTACTGAACCCCCTGGGTGTCTTATGGGGTAAGTTTTAGTTAGTTTCCCCATAGCTAGCGCCCCTCCCCTTGACTATATCGTAACTTTCTATTGCCTGTATCTTCGCACACACGCACACACACACTTCAAAACGTCTCTAAGAGATATAATATTCGGATGTTTGAAACGTGTATAAAGTGTCTGAATGTAAGAGGTATGCAAAAGTTCAAAAATTCTTGCATATTTCATTAAAATTTAAAGTGTCTCTAAAATATGTGAAGAAATGTTCGATGCTTGATATGTGTAGTAAGTAAGTAAGTAATCTAAATAAAGTGTCCTATATACAATGTTTATTTGGTTGAGTGTTCTTTTCTTCGCATTCATGCACGCACACACAAGTCAAAAAGTTTGACATGTGACTGTTTGTTATCAAACATATTATATGGATTCTATGTAATGTTTCTAGTGTATTGTATATGTTCTAGTTTGTCTACCCAGTACAGGGCACGGGCAGCAATGTTTAGAATCGCATCTTATACTTATTGTTAACGTGTTTCTTTTCTTTTTGTCCACCATTACAGTTACAGCGTAGACCTGAAGACTGAATTTGAAGTATGAGTACAATGCGAAGACGTCTTCTTTATCGCCGAGAAGTTGAAGGAAGCAGCCGCCGCAGTTCTGACCAGGCTGTATGGAAAATATGAATGCATGAGTGAATGTCGTGAATAAATAATACAAATTAGTGGATGAATATGTTGCTCCTTGTGTAAAGTACATGATGTAGATTGTCTTGTACAGGATTGGACATAGCTAAATGTTGCCTGAATGTGCATGGGTGAACCAAGGTGATTTTGCACAGCGTATCTAGCATTAATTATCACCTAGTACGCTTTCTTCTTTTATTTTCCTTTTTTGACAACACAGTTCCACCAACTGAGAGGATGTAGTTTCGTGACTGGTCGGGGGAAATCTGGTGACCACAGCTCCGATTGTGAAGACCAGCAGAAGCAAGTTGACTGTACAAGTTAGTACTGGGGCTTCTATTACAGTATTAGTAAATTATTGTGTCTTTTGACTCCAGGTGTTATCATTTTGTTCTCAACTTAACAAGTAAGGGAGGGGCGCTTGAATAACAAGTAAAATGGGCTTCTTTTGTACGTCTTGCATCTGTATCTGAATAAAATCACCCCTTGCAATTGGCGTAACCCAGCTTCCCTGGCGCGGCGATTTTTTTGTGTTGATCTGTTTGAGAATTTGAAATTTCCATAAACATACAATATGTATGGACGTAGACATCTTTGAATTGTTACTTTTGGTTTTGCTAATGTTTGAGTTCAGATTTTGTGATGCCCATGATACAGTATATATTTGCATGTTGTGTAATGTATGAGGCACATAGTTTCTTGTGATCTTTTCAGTCTGATTTTTTTGCAGTATTATGAATGCTTTGAAGTTTAACGTACAATGTATGTACGAAGATTTAGATTCTGTGAAGTTGATTTCTTGTTATTCAGCTGTTCTGTTAAGACTTTTTGTGTAGCCTGTTTATCATTTATGTGATATCAATAAGTATATAACCATAACTACATTAGTTTGCTGAATACACTTGTACCTTTTATATTGGCACGAAGTTACAAATAGGTTGGTCTTATGTTATAAGTACGAGAATACAGGGAAGGAAAACCCTGCACAGACACCCAGGGAAGACACCCCTGCACAGAAGTCCTAGGGAGTAAACCCTAGTCAAAAAAAATCCAGGGGGGATGAAACACCCCTGTCAAAAAAGTCAACCCCGCGCCAAAGTTCGACGAGTCAACCACTACACAAGACACAGACGGACAGTGGTACCGGCATTTCTATAGATGTTTACACGTAAATGTTATGTAGATTAGATTTCTATGATATATTATTTCTATGATATATTATATGACGGTTGATTTAGACTGTGACAGTTTTTGGAGAACCAAGAAATCAAATTGGTGTGGCCCTAGGATGGTACAAATGATACTGTTTGAATGATACTGTTTGTTCATATCATGTATTTTGACGTTGGTTTTGTTGACAAGGACAGTATATATGTTGGGCAGGGTAGTAGACGGACTCGGACTGTATGTTGAAATGATTTTGGTCCTAGTGACTTGCTTCTAGCCATGGGAAATTGGCACACAATTATTGGCAAACCGACGCTCATCCTGACAAACTATTTACAGTCTTGGTAATTTTGTCTTTTTCTCAAATTTCATATGGAGTACACTCAGCTCGCATTGCCGTAGAGAAAAATACAATTGGGTTTGAAAAGATTGTGAACAGCTAAGGAAGAATGAGGCTTAATATGACTACAAATAGACAGTCTAGCTGAATATAACAAATAAAACCAACTGTAGACAGAGAATAACCAAATAAGAATAAAAATATTAGATAGGCAGGGAGGAAAACTTTAAAAGAAAACTTAGCAAGACAGGGCACAAATAACAACATTGCCTTCTTCAATTCTGGCTGTTCACTTTCACAATAAAACATTCTTTAAACATTTATTCTTTCTTACAAACTACTGTGAGCTGAGTGAAACTCTTTAAACTTTGCTGCTATGTTGTAATTTTGTCAGGACTGTGAGTGGTTGTTGTCAGGATGGCGTCCAAATTTACCTCGGCAATGGAGGCAACACCTTGACGCGGTGCTGGGGCTAGTACCAAGTTTGTCTCCGGAAAATTCCTGTTTGTTTTATTAAAGTAAAACTGAATGTCTCTGTGGTCCTGTTTTAAGTGAACACTGACTGCAGCAAGGAGGATATTGAAGACAAATCCCACTTTCTGATGTCATGTCCAACATATAAACAGAAGAAAACGACAAAAGTTGATGCATTCCATTGCTTCCAAAACTAATGTTACATTACCCCATTCAAAACCAGATATCTTCAATGTGCTCCTGCCATGCCCTACTCAGGTATCAGTGTAGCGTACTAGGAGAATTTAATTCATATCCGATTCGCTACAAAAACGACTCCATATGTAAATAGCTGACACATCTCCTGAATCATAGACTGGAATATAATAATATCCTCGATAAAGATTCTTCTTCTTCTTCTTCTTTCCCGTACGTGCACAACCTCAATAAGTTGAGGGCTCCGGCACGGTGAGGGGTAGGGGTTTTTGGTTTGGATTTGGGGTGTCGCTCTTATTTTGTATTGTGTATATAATGTGTGTATATATGTTGTTGTAGTCTGTTGGCTACAGACTACAAGCTCCTCAGTGGGCAGGGGCGCCACTCCCTGTCCGCCAGCTGGGTGGCGGTGAGTACCCGTGACTCTTGTTTGGGGTTACAAGGTGTGAATGGCATTTTTAAATGCCTGTAGTGACTTTGCTTTAACCACACTATCTGGTAGGCGGTTCCATTCTCTAACAGTTGTAGAGAAGAAGGAATTTAGGTGGTAGTCAGCTCGTGAGCTTGGAGGGTGGAGGGCTAAGCTGTTTTCAGTGCGAGAGGGAGCTCGTAGCCCCTTGCTTGCTAGCGGCATGTGCATAGCTACAATGTTATTTGTGATCTTATAAAACATCTGTAAGCGGGCGTTTCGCCTCCTTTCTACGAGCAAAGGCCAGTCAAGTGTGACTAACATGTTAGACACACTAGACTGCCGTCTGTAGCGGCGGAGGGCAAAACGCGCTGCCCTTCTTTGGACAGCCTCCAGGTTCCTTATATTACTTTGGGTATAAGGATCCCATACCGTCTGACAATACTCAAGTATTGGGCGCACTAGGGTTTTGTAAGCCCGGGCTTTGACCTGTGGATTTGCAATGTTAATATTGCGTCTCAGGAAATTAACGGTATTGTTGGCTTTTGAGGATACGTGATCTATATGAAGGTCCCATCGTAAATCTCCAGATATAAGGACACCAAGATATTTGACGAAGCTGACATGTTTGAGAATATGCCCATGCAGGGAGTAGTCGTAGACAATGGGAGCTCTCTTTCTGGTGATGCTGAGCACTTCACACTTGTCAGGGTGGAACTCCATAGCCCACTTTTCCCCCCACTCTGCCAAAGTATCAAGGTCGTTCTGGAGTTTCAGTGAATCACCCTGGCATGAGACCGTCATGTAAATCATGGTATCGTCCGCAAATAAGCGAGCTGTAGAGTGTAAGTTTTCAGTGATATCATTTATGTAATACAAAAACAGGCAAGGTCCGAGCACCGAACCCTGTGGGACCCCTGAAATGACATCCAATTTGCTAGAAGTCACCCCCTCGATGACCACTGACTGGGTACGACAATGAAGGAAGTCTTCTATCCAGTTCCTGGTCTGAGGTTCAATGCCGTACCACTGAAGCTTCCGAATGAGTCGTTTGTGGCCTACCTTATCGAAGGCTTTAGAGAAATCAAGCACACAGACATCTGTCTGGAGACCTTCCTGCATGTTGTTTACAATGTCATGAACAAGTTCCAGAAGCTGTGTCTCACATGACCTTCCGGGTCGGAAACCGTTTTGTAGCTGATAGAAGAGATCATGCTGTTCCGCATGCTTCATCAGGCTACTACAAATAACATGTTCCATTAACTTAGAGGCAATACAGGTTAAGCTAATAGGTCTGTAGTTTGCTTTATCGTACCTTTGGCCTTTTTTAAAGATCGGAGTCACGTTTGCGTGCTTCCAGTCATCGGGGATTTTACTTGTTAAGAGTGATTTTTAAATATTCGTGTCAAGGGATCAGCTAGCTGTTCAGAGAGTTCTTTAAAGATTTTTGGACTAAGGCCATCAGGGCCAGCAGCTTTTGTTGGATTAAGGTTTTGTAGTAATTTCAGAACTCCTTGTTTGTGGATACTAATTTTAGGCATGGGTTTGGTCTTCCTACCACGTCGAGTAGGTATTGCTGGAGTCTCGCGTGTGAACACGGAGTGGAACTGTGCATTTAGAAGTTCTGCTTTTTGCTGTGAATCAGTGATAAGTCTACCTTTATCTTTCAGTGGTGCAATTCCAGAATGGTCAGTACGCTGATGTTTAATAAACTTCCAGAACTTCTTTCTACATGTGTCACTGTTTTCGTCACTCTCTGGAGTGATGATTTCTTCTACATACTCCCAGTAGGCTTTCCTCAGCTCACGCTGTACCTCGCGTTTGAGTCTCAGAAATTTTGCCTCCAAAGACGGGCGTCCAGTCTTTTCACTAGCTTTATATGCTTTGTCTCTGTGTTTGATTTTACGTCGTAAGTTAGGGTTTAACCATGGGTGAGAGTCCTTTCTTTTAGTTGTACGATGTGGGATGTAAGTCTTTATCCCCTCAAGGAGTCCGTTTTTCAAAATGTTCCAGAGGTGGTTTATATTAGATGATGGCTCTGCGGCCCGTACTTTATCAGCTAGGTTATTTGCAAACTCTCTGAAGCCTTCCCAATTAGCCTTGGCATAAATAGGGACTTTGCGCGGGATTTGCCGCCGCCTCAGAGGTTTCACCTCCAAACTCTGTGTACACTGCAAGATGGTCACTTATCCCGGGGATTACCTGAGTTCTGTTTATCTGTGCCGGGCGGTTTGTAAGTATGAGATCCAGGGTGTTTACACCGCGAGTTGGGTCTTCCACTATTTGGGTGAGGCCATTATCTTGCATTGAATCAGCAAATTGTCTGTGTTTTGCAGAATGACTGGTTCTGGGTTTCAATGTCTTATTCCCCCAATCCCAGCCTGGTAAGTTAAAGTCGCCACCAAGTAGGATAATGTTCTTATCACTAGAGGAGATCCTTCGCAATGAGTGGTCCAGTATGTCTGTGGTGGTGTCATCGCCCTCAGTGGGTCGATAACAAGCACCAACATATAATGTCTTGCAACCTTGCATGGTGATCTTGACCCAGAGTGTCTCAGCTGAGTCGGACTCGAGAGTCTCTTCACGGCTGTTACTAAG